TAGTAAAGTAGTACGTCATAGAGAAAAATGCATTGTGGGTAGCAAAGTAGAGGAACAAGTAATGATGTGCGTTATGGGCGGAGAAAGCAAGCTGCCGTCAGAAGAAGTGTTTTTTTATTTTTTTCTCTTCTCTTCTTTACTATTTTTCACTCCCTTCTGCTTTTGCAGGTTTTGTTAAGTTTTTCAATAAAGTATGGCTTGCAAATACACTACTTAGTGGTCTTTTCGGAATAACATTGTTCGTAACTTCCATATAGCCTACTTTATACTAATTACCAAAATCGCTGATTGCAATCTTCTGCCTCTCAGTTCTTCGGTTCTACTTATACAGAACCGGTTCGGTTCCGGTTCTACGGTTCTGATACGGATCCCTACCTACCACCCCCCTTTTACCTTCAAACAATGCTGAATTTTTGTTCTGCTTGACAGGAGTGAGAATGGTGTTTTTTATAATTTTGGTCTTGAAGTCATTGTCGTCACTGCACTAAAAATGCCTAAAGGCAATACCTCTTTCAGATTAAGATTATGTAGCTGATTACTGTGTCAGTTACTCGAGTTAATGCACTCCGAACTCTCAGACGATTCATGTCCAATACCCAGGCAATCCTCGCAACTGAACAGATCGTGTTCAGTTTCTTCGTAAAATTTATAGGTCAGAATCTTAGAGGTGGAATTCTCTTGCTCTTGAAACGGGTATTGGACAATTGTTGAGGTGGAAATTCTGGGACATCATGAAAGGTGTGATTGTTGCACCCTAAACCTAGGCCGTTGTGTTCGCTCTATCATACTTACTAAAAATGTGATTGTTACACCCTAAAATAAGCACGCTTTGTTCGCTCTACCTACTAAAGATGTGACCGTACACCCTAAACAAAGCTCGCTTTGCTCGCCCTACTTACTTACCAAAGCAAAGGCCCGAAATTCTATTATTTGTTACGATCTAGATGCTTTTGCTAATATGACATTGATAATTATATTTGTAAGACGTTCCCTCCCGCTGACCCTCCCGTTAGGGCGCTGCCCCACTCCAAACCCGAAGCTCTAAAAGGTGGGGCAGCGACAGCAGGAGAAGTTGGTGGAGGCGAACTGTTGATCATAGGCACAGGTGATCGTGGCAAGGTAGTAGCTATAGCGAGTATTGGAGGAGGTTTGTTTGTAATCTTTTCAGCAAAATTGCATTATCACCAAAAAATTAGTAAGTACACAGTACCACAGTTGATAGGGTTAAGTGGGCATTCTCTATGATTACGCCTACTGCCTACGATGGGTGCTCGAGCCACAGATACAAAACGTAGGCGCAAAAGTTTTTACAAAAACGAACTATCTGTAGCTTTGTAAGCAAACAGCTGCAGCAGTAATATTCAAATACACATGGTTAAAATATGCATTGCCTATTCTACTGAAACACTGCGAGAATGCACTGGACATGGCTCATTGCGATCCGAGCCACAGTGGCAGGCATGATCGGTCGACTGCTTTGTCGAGAAATGTGCAGAAAAAAAATAGTTAGTAAATTTGTAGCTCATCTAGAGCAGTCTGTCAGAATCCCGGCTAACGGTGGAAAATGCTCAACGATTTTTACAGAAAGACCTCAAATGTCGTTGATGGCAGATGAAATCAAGTAGCACACCTCTTCGGAACTCATATTGAGAAATGCAATGTGGTAATAGTCTAGGAAGACGGCACAAAGTTGAAGTTTACCCAAGTCTCTCAGGAACGTGTAACATTAAAAAAGCATGGCCGTTACAAAGTGAAATTTCCAAATCTGGATTTTACGCTGGGATTGAAATCGTAAGGACATTTAATAGAAGATATGCATGGGCTCTTTCTGTGATGGCACTGTGCTCTGTGACTGCCTGGCCTACGTTTGCACGTGCAGCATTCAGCAGTAATGTCTAGGTTTCCGATTTTTTTCGCAACGCCTTCATCGCGGTCTTCTGTTTGGCTGTTTGATCGTGAAGTATCTCTTTGGCTTTAGGATTATTCTTGGAGAAATTCAGAGAAAGTTAAGAAAGAAGAAGGTTAGAAGAAAGAGTTAGAAAAAAGAAAGAAAAGAGAAAAAATCAAAACAGACGTTGAGGAAAATTATGCTGCTCGTTAAGGTGTCAATTGTACAGCTTATCATCCTCAACTGTCTATTCTAGTGGAGTGTTTTACAATAAGTTACTACAAATCTGATTTCATGTTGATACGCTTCTATGACCCATTCATTGCTTGTAGTATCCTATCGATCTTTCTTTTTTTCTCTTCTTTAGCAGTAGTTGGTTTACTGTGTTGGATTAGATTAAATTATTAATAAAGAGCTTGACTTTGATATCATCAATCCGTGTATCTACTGTATGCTTTACATACTTCTCTATCTGAAACAGTTAACCGTTCTCATTTATGGTATATTTCGTCTATAACCGCCAAAAAAATTCTCCAAAATTGAAAGCTATCAGTACCCCACAGAAGCAACCAAATCAATTGTTTTTTAAGCATATTTTAGTCTACTTCAATTTGGCTAACTTCTTTAAAAAAGGAGAGGATAGTCGTCAAAGTCAGCTGGTTTGGCAGAATATTACACATTCGGGTAAACAATACTCACGTAAAAGTTCCTACCTAATATGGCTAGTATCTAATGCCTTACACTGTCACTTGCAAGAGCTAGCTTATGAGATGGGCCACACCCTTTTCCTTACTCCACTAGATGCATCCGCTTAGAAAGCGCCAGAAGAGCACAAGAGAAAACGCAAAGAGAAAAAAACACAATTTTAAGGCTTTAAAAGAACATTTACCAAAAGCTCCTGTATACTGTTTCGCCTCCAAACAGAGTATTTTACATTGAAAAGATGATTTTATGGAAGGGTGTGCCGTTTCATAGATGCTTATTCCCAAGAACTACCAACTCCTGAAGCCGTCACTCTTGGGGAGAACTATACTTACAGCTCAGATCGTCGGCACTATGCTTTGTATCTCCTTCTCTCCATCTGTATCATACAAACCATCGGAAAAGCTTGGAGTTGTGAAAATCTACGACTTTGATATGAGATACAAGAAGGAACGGAAGGTATGTTTGTGCGCCGAATCTGGGGCTTCGTCGACTGTTGTTATGCCGCATCCTATATCCCTGTTACTTGTGAAGAACAGACAAGAAAATTTAGATCGAAAACCAAAAGCAATAACTCTGGCTCTTGCTGCTGTTGATTCAAATGTACGAAAGCAAGTTAGTGTCAAGGTAAGACGAAAAACAGCAACAACGGTTCTCAAGATCTACTAGAGAAAATGCACAATAACGAAACAAATCTTTGGTCATATTATTACTTATACCACCGGTGCCTTTTGTTCCATGTACTATTCGTATTCACTCTCAACACTTCGTTTGGCCTGTTATAGTTGGTTTCCAACATATCCTTGTGCGTGTAATAATAATTAAGCTTCATCATGAGTGTTCAAAGTTTCGCTTACTCTCTGGAAAGAAGAAAGCGAGCTGACATTGATCATACGTCTTGGTGTGCAGTCACCACAGCTATTACTCACTACGTACATTTTTCTGTCCCCAAGGTTCCTGATGAAGAAAAGGGTTATCGTCATGGTGTGATTTTGGAAAATATGGTCAGCAGCAGCGCTACTATCTCTTGGCAGATTATGGTAGCAGATAATATACAAATTGTAGTATGTGAAACAAACAAACAATACCTAATTAGCAAGAAGTCATACGTATAAATGACCACCAATCCTCACAAAAACCGGTCGTTTATGTATGATTCTCCTCCTCCTCTTTCTTGACGCATATCTTAAATCATTCTGTTGCTCTCAGAGCAGTGAATAAATTACAACCTCTTTTCAGGATTGTCCATCCCGAAAATTCCCACGTCATCATCGGCAATAAATCGTTGGAACCAGATTCCTTCACATTATTTTTCTGGATAATATTCAAAAAAGCGTCATAGAGACATAAGCTAACGGCCAATCGTCCTTGCATGGTTCTATTCGGAGGGGTTATCATTTGTTACGGGGACCAAGATATCAGTGACAGCGGCAATATAATAACGAGCCCAAATGGATTTCATTGTTCAAAAATCATTGCGTGATTTTTTCACGATCAACAACGACGGCCAAAAGATAGTGTCGATTTTGTTGCTACTATAAAATTTTGCTTTCGTTACTTGACTCACATGAATTTATGAGGGTAGCTACAATAGACATCTTAGTCAAGATTAGAGCAGCTTAAAACACTTACAGATTTTTGCTAATTTCTGAACGTCGGTAGGCGTTATACGATACAATGAACGTATCCTTTCGGAGAATAGAGCCTAGTAGTAGCAGCAATGCAGAATTACTACCTCATAAATGACTGGACCTTGTGTAAGTGCAATAAGTTGTTTTCATGGTGTTTGTCGAGTCCTTGACTCTGTAGAAGGACACTTTGCAAAGAGGAAGAAAAAGAGTACATGCAAGAGAGTTGTAGTATCGAAAATACTCCAGTCTGCGGAATTGCACTCGGGAATTTCTTAATATACACAGCCTATAGCGAAAACAGAAACGTATGTTGCTTCCAACTGTAGCTATTATGGCCTCGTGAATTGCTACATTGCTGCTACATGATAGGCTGTAATTGATATATTTGGCTCTCTCTCTATTATTTTAAGAACATGACATTCGGACATGAGCGAGTTGAACATACCATTTATAGATTACTTCAAGAAAGGGTAGATGTGCGGATTGACCTTTTCGTTATTCTCGTTACTTAGCATATATAGCAGCATGATCCTAGGCCCGATTCTCCGGTGAAACTGTAGGTACACAATAGAATACAGTGTAGCTCAGCTAACTACAATGGTAGCGTGTAAGTACATACTGCCCAGTGCATTGATGCGGTTTCCATGGCTTCGTACTGACCTGTTGATCGTTGCCCTGAGTGCTGATGCATGGAAGAAAAAGATCACACTGATCACCTGGGAAGTTACACCACTGATCACTGCGGGCCTGAAAGTGTATTTGCTCCCCCCAATTTTACATTTTTTTAAACGCATACACACACACACACACACACACACACGCACGACGTACTACTTTTTTTTATATAATATTCTTTTTTCTGTCAGGACCGAGAGACACTTTTATAGATACAATCCAACCTATCTATATATCATATATATAAGTATACTCCCCCCAAAAAAAGTAACGAGTAAACTAGTCAAGTCAAGTCAAAGAAGCAAAACCCTCGTGGCGTATACGACAAAAGAGCAAAAACGGAATTCACACACATATACACACGCACACAATTGGAAAAAAAGAGGGAAGAAGAACTTGAATGCCTTGATGCTTACTGATTCAAGCTTAACCAACATATTTCTCGTGGTAAGACTAGTCATTCAAAGACTGGCAAAGGGAGGGTTCCCAACATGGTCATCCACTTTGTTGTGTGAAAAGAGAAAAGACTGATTCGAACACGTAACCCACACACTACTACTACCATTTCATAGAGCGGTGCGTCTCAAATTCGCTACAGAGTATACTGCCAACGATGCCAACGGTCGCAATTGGCAAGCTTCCTTAAAACCGAGACAGCAGGGTCCTCTTCCTCTTCATCGTCTTCAGCCTCCACTACTGGTGGTGGTACTGATGACGACCAGGACAAGCATCTCGTTCGAGCGTTCCGCCAGCTTGTTCAGCTGGGAATACCGTGCACTTGGCGTATTATTACTACGCAACAGGAAGACCAAGTAACGCTTGAGCTTTGGGTGTTTTGGTTTGATGACCGACGCACGGGTGAAATCGATGATAACATTAGTCTTCAAAATCTGGAAGGTAAATTATTGTCAAGAATTGGGATATTGGATCGAAGCTGTGTCAGTTACGGTGAAAGGTACTACTAGCGTGTTGGAGAACGAGGAATTGACAAGATAACGATTGACGACTGTCATAGAAACGAAAATGGGATCGTTTACTTGGGAAAGCGCAGTCGCAAAAAGTTTATCGCCAACAGCATCCCCACGAACACCATCCACAAGTACCAGTAGCTCGGTCTTGAGCGTATCGGTAGAGTACCGACTATTCATCAAAGCCATCAAAAGTTTAATAAGAGGGTAAAGTCTGTTAATCTTGCCACTGTATATTCTTCCCCCCCCCTCTCTTTCTCTCTATGGCTCTGGGCACTGTTTCCTTCTAATGCTGTGACATTGGTTATGATTACAATCTTATAGGTCAATGGTGCGAAAGGGAGCAATGCCCCTGGGCGAGTTTTTCATTTTTCCTTCAACCTTCATGGAGGGCGATGTATGTTCCGATATCTTCTCGACAACTCCAGATCCGTCGGTGGCCACCCTCCTCACTTGTACATACAACATTTATCTGACAAACACAAACCTTGTTGTGCAACCAGACATCCACAGAATCAAGCTTCGACCTATAACAACACGTGATCTGGATACTGCCGGAACATCAGGTACCAATTTGTGTGATTCTTATAGCAGACAGACGGGCACAAAACAGGATCAAGCTAACTGATACGATGATTCAAAGTTCTCATATGTCCTTATGGTGAACAAGCAACCATTATCCGTGCAAAGCATGGCATACCAAATTCAATGGAAGAGCAAGTCCTGCATCATTGGTCATCTTTGCTCGATATACCCCTCCGCGCACTGCAACAACATCAGCAACACCATCATCATTACCCGCATCAACATAAAAGTTACCACCAGAATCATCACTACACCAACAGTTACCATCATTACCATAATCATAATCAGCATTACCACCATCATAATCTCAGCAGCAATGGCATTAATAGCAGCAGCAATAGCAGTAGTAATAGCAGTAACAGCAAAAAGAACGAGTATCAATTACCACCATTAGTCCCTCTTCGAATGTCCAAAACCGGCGACATTGTACTTTATCCAACGCACCTTACCTATATTTCAACTTCCGCATCCATATCCCCGGTCAGCATGGGCGGCATGAATGGCATTCTGGGCTACAATCAAGGATATGCCGAAGACCTTGGCGAGAAATGGAGCCGATGGGCTTGGGCGGACCAAATCAGAGAATATGCACGCCGTAATCGACATCATCCTAATGTTACTAGCACTACTACCAGTAACAACAGCAGTAATGACAATGTTAATTTTTGGGATTATGGTAGTCCCAAAATGAGTGCTACAGCTGCTGTATTGGATACACTATCGATTGCAGAAATGGGCAATTTTCAAGGCGTGTTGCAAAAGGCACTGAACGAAACCGTTGGGTCTAGCCCAATCATGGTATCCAAAGCTGTGGCTACGCCAGCGAGCTCAGGACCGAAGATGGAGCCGAGTGAGAATGATCAATGCACTCCGCCAGACAAGAGTCGAGCAGAACGATTTCAGCATCAATCAGAATTATCAATTGCAGATTTTGCAAAGCTGCATTTTGGTGAAGATGAGGACGAACAACAACAACAACAACAACAGTCAGGAACCGCGAGCATGATTGAGGGAGTTGGTGGAGGAAATCAAGGGGCTGCCGTGACAGAAATAGGAGCAGACTTTGCTGGACATCGAGTCAATGCGAATGGGCAACAACGAGAAGGTGCAACGACAACAACAGCGAATAGTAAGAATGTATTGCAGCCGTTACCACAGCAACAACAGACGACGCCTGCACATACTGCTAGCGGCAACAATAACAGGACATTAACAGATTCATCAGTTCTTTTATCGGGCGTATCTGACATGGTGTTGAATTCCGGTGATCCGACACAGGCATATCCCTCCTCATCTTCGCCAACACCTATTGCAGCATCTGACGATGCTTTTGGATTTCGACTTGGAATTGATGGGTTGGATGGCGCTAACAACATGTACGGCAGCGTGACATCAAACCGTTGGGGCGATCCCATGGAAGACCTCGATAATCTCGATTTCAACGTAACTGAAGAGGATTTTGACTTTTTCGAGCCTGTCAAAGAAGACCCCGCAGCAGCAGCAGCTGCTTTGTTTGGAAATAACCATAGCAATGTATTGGACGAGCAACATCAACAGCATCAAGAGGATCAGCAACAGGAACTACAAGTAGAAAAGCAAGAACAGCAAACAAACGCCAATGATACACTCATGTTACTGGATATGACTGATATTGGAAATGAAGAAATCAACCTGGACGCGCTTTTCAGCAAAGATGTTATTCTGGATGATGATTCGTTGCTTATGCCCAATGAAACGGCAGCGTCAACAATCACGACCGATGCAACAGTTAAAGCCGAGAGCGGTGACAACATTGTTCCACAGCAACAGCAACATCCTGAGGATGATGAAGCTATGACTGTCGCTATGGATACTGTTAACACCACCGCTGCTGATGATAATCAGTCACAGCAACAGAAGCCAGAAACTGTACCTGCAGGTATGCTCTCGCCGTCACCACCGCTACCATCATCATCATTACCACCTATGGTGCTTGAGTCAAAATCCGAACAGCACTTTGTACCACCTGCATTTGCGCCGATCAAGTTCCCAGAAGGTGTCAATGACGCTAAATACTCGGAAGGCGGCAAATTTATGTACATGCCAACGCCCAAGGATGAAGACGACAAGGCTCAAATAAAGCAGCGTAACAAGTTAAAGCGAGATAACTATCGTCCTGACTATGTACCACGACTTCGTAAACGGCCAAGAATTAAACGTCATCATGCGTCTGCCACCGCTACTACTCCTACGCATCGCATATTGACTGGATCACCCATCACACCTACTCATAACAACACAGGGTCGCTTGTAATGTATCGCTCAGCCCCAACTACGGTTACGTCTACCACTTTACCAACCACAGCCCCAGCAGTTGCACCAACAACAGCAATGACATCAGCTTCTAAAAAAATAATTACAGCTCATACATTTAATCAAGTACCTGAGAATATTACGAATCATGTTAGCAGCATCAATGATAACGAAAAACTTGACGATGGTGACGACACGTCATCTACAACAACAGCAGAAACATCATCATCATCGTCAACATCATCCGACGGCAGTGCTTATTCAAGTAACAGGAGCAGTAATGATGAGCCAGATTGGTGGATGGCTACGACTAGAAGCACACAAACGGTCTTTATCAATCAATTCTTCAAGAAACAACAAGAGCAATCAATACAGTCCATGATCAATTTCAACCGAATGATGTTGGAGTTTGACAGTCCATTCCCGAGCACAACAGCCTATGGTCCATTGACATCCGTTAGATCTTTCCAAGACTTAGACAAGTCTCAAGAAGTTCTTAAAGTTTTGGATTATCTTTGCCAGCAAGTGGTTATGGGTGGATATCCGTTCACAAGTGGATTGACAGCAGTATCGGCCAACGGAGGCGAAATCCCTCGAGATGAGTCTTCCACCGTCTTGGTAGCACGGCGGAGAGCGCTTTTACAACGATGCCAAGGAGGTTTGTCTTTGTCTTTATACCTAAAGTCTAAAATTCGTACAAGGACATGGATACTGACAAAAAATTGTGTGTCTGTTATAATGGGGTGTTTGGTCATGTTGGACAAACCCGATAGATGTAATGCATGTGCCATCGTTACCTAGCGATTACGACAGGGTTGCACAAGACTTTAAGAGCGTGCTGTCAGATCTTTTTGACCATACCAAAATTGTCACTGATACGATGGATCAATTGAACGTCATGCCAAGTACCGTTGCAGTCAAAGGACCTTTGAGCGTTCAACAATATTATGACCTGTCAGGTAAAATGGAAAATTTACTTATAAACAAATCTGTCACATACTCGTCGTATGCTTAATGTATCTTATACAATACATACACATAGAAGCAAGTCAAGCGCAATCAAAATACGGCAAATTTAACGTAAAAAAACGACGACCAGCAGAACCTAATTTGGATACGTTAACACCACCGGATATTGTTGTTGGACGGCAGGACGAATTTTTGGAGGGTTCACCTAAACTTGTCACATTTTGGGAGAAGTTGCGGCTGGAGCCTTACTCTGCGCACAAGAATATTCGCTATTTTGCTGTCTTTCCGAGTAATGAACAACTGGAACCCATCTGTACACACTTCTTCAAAAGCCTGAGCACAGTGTATGAGACCTGTCATTTAGGTGTTCATCAGCCAGGAAGCATAGGCACTTATCGGCGAGGGCTAGTGCCTGTTCCTTTACTTCGTAAGTCCAATAAATCTGATAAACTTGTGAATGAGTGAGAAATCCTCTAACTGTCTTAACACTATCTTGCTGCTACTATTTCACAGCCGAGTCAGCAGGTGAATCATGGTCCGATCGCCAAATGCGAAGTTATAGCGCCGAATGCCAAAACCTGGGATTGGCATTAGGTGGGGCCATGGTGGAAAATATGCATATCGTCATTTACATTGTCAACCCTACACACAACCTATCATCCAATCTCGAACTCAGCCGATGTTTTCACAAGCTCATGCTTGCCTATCATGCGGCATCCATGGGAAACATATCTGCTTGTCAAGAACGACGCGCTCGGCTAGTCTTTCAATTGGTACCCTTGGAGCATATTCTGCGACCGTCGTCATTTGGTGGATATCCCAATTTTGGACTTAAGGAAGTTGCTTTCTCAGTATACAGCAAATGCCATACTGTTGTAGGCAGGAACCATACACAACATGTACATATGCAGTTTCTTCTTTTTCTTTTAAGCTAGTGATGAAGAAAAGATGAAAGCCTGAATGCCATCTAACCTTATACATATCATCTGCAATAGCCTGGCATGGAAGATACCCGACCGGCGACATTGATGTATTCGCCGCCGTTCATTCTGGCCAAACCGATACCCGATACAATTCAATACTCATTGAAGAACACGGTCAATTCGTTTCCAATCATCCTGGACCAAAGCGCGACTTTACATATGGCGTACTGCTTTAGTCTGGATCGACAATGGATGGTGCTAGTCTGGACGGATAACCAAGGCGAATTACTAGAGTTTTCAGTTATTCATATCAAGGACAAGTCGCTGTTAGATGCCGTTGATGAAGCTTGGCAAAAAACCAAAGATGTTGCCCAGTGCACAGGATTCGCGTGGACTTTTGTCATAGCCAAAATTGGTCTTATGTTTGGAGATGAACTGCAAGCTTGGATCGATGTCATACCTGCAGACGATAAAGTGGCTATTGTTTCAGTGGATATTGACTCGGCTTTGCGCGTGCAACTGAACCACGATTTGGCGAACCAGTATCACCAGCAACAGCAACAACAAATACCAGTAATGGAGTATCCACAAACGCCTGGATCTTCAGCAAATACCCCGACACCGGAAACGTTTAGCTCTGCAGCTGCCTCAACTGCGACCACACCACTTTCTGCTGCAGCCGCATCAACGGCAGCAGCAGCAGCAACTGTCCGACCTGCTGCGAGTGCGCTGGATTTGAGTAACGCGAATGGTGAAATCAAAGCACTGATATTGAATCATCGAGTGGCCTACTCAAGACACCGGACTCATGTTATGCAAGGCATTGTCAATGCGGATTATGGTGGCACTGCTTGTGGCGACGGTGACAGTGACCAAGAGCACTGGATGCTACCTCTTGCCACAGGATACTTGATCTGCTCATCACCAAAGACAGAAAATCCGTTACGGGAACAATTTAACAGCGAGCCATTGGTGATGGATGTGCATCTTGTATACAATCAAACGGGTCCTCTTGTCTACAGCACATTACGAGATATTATTAAGCGATACCACGCTCTTTCCTTCATTTCCATGACCCCATCCAGCTCGAGCAATTGTTTACCGCTACATCTCGTCATTGCCGAGCGACTTCAGCGTATCCTACTTGTCATGGATACAGCTTGAAAAACACCCGCAAAATAACCCTTCCCATTTCCTTTTTTTGCATGTACTTATTCTCTTTTTACATACAATTCTATTCCTCATTACATCTCTCTCACTGTTCTTCTGTACATTTTACCCTTCCATCCGATCTTAACACCGATTTCCATCTTCTTTCACCTTTTGCCTCCACATGTTTAATTTCTTCCTCACTCCGTTTCTTGTGTGTTGTGATTTATTATTATTAATGGTTTCTTTCAAGTTCTAGTGTAAAAATACATATACGCAACAACCATCCACCACATTTACCCCAGTATCAAGTTACAGAACCTATGTTTGCTAGTACATCCAACATCAGCAAAAGCGAAATGTATTATTTGATGATAAAACCAGACAGTAAAGCGTGGATAGAAAAAATCAAGGGATGATTAATAGATGTCTATAGGTGGTGAAGCACTATAGTTGCACAGATCACCCAAATAAAAGAGCAAGTATAGGAGTTGACGTTAAAACGTATAGGCCAACACATCCTATGAGTAACAAATTGAAATTTACCAACGGAAGTGTAAACCTTCTCACACCACCAAGTTTTTCACATTAAAAGAGTCTAATATATCTACTAATTTCAACGAAGCCATACTAGACATCTAGCCTAATAGCTACAAAACTGGGCTTAGAGTGAGCCCGCACAATTGTGAAAAAAAACCGACATGGTGTACTTTATTCTGTCAAATATCCAATATCTTAGCATGTTCTGTCCACTGCTGTCAGGCACTATATCACCATAATATTATGTGTCTCCTTTTAAATATGAGCTGTGAATATTAACACCTTTTGGAAAAACTGTGTAATGATGCCAGCTCCATGATAGAACGACATACTAGAGCGCACGCTACTGGTGGCACTAGTATTTTATAGCCACATTTTCTGTACGGATTGACTGTATGAACCTGCTTCGATGCACGTTTACTTAACTTTCCATTATTGATGAAACAAGGAAAGTTGATCCAATGTATTATCGTTATATAGTAGTTGAGTAAAAGAAGTTATATATGGTGGCGAGAGCTAGTGCTTGGAATAGATATATACCTTGGGAGATAAAGAATTATGAAGAAATGTGTCATTCATGCTTTTTCCAACAGCCACACCAATTAAAACAACAGTCGAACATTTACTGCACACGATGAGCCAATGTTGCGATGACGGAAAAGTCTGCGGCCCCTCTGCTTTTGCAAGACGCTCATGGGTTGAAGTTGCTGACAGCCACGCGATGCCTTCGTTGTCTGTGGTGGAGGATACTTCGCTTCAGAGTCTTCGTCCCTGCAATTCTAAGAGCATACAGATGCTCCGGCATGCCCGTTTCTGCAAGAGCAAACCACCGCTTCATCCTGTCAGTCCCTGCTAGATTACATCAAGGACATCCCTAACAATCGAGTTTTGCAGATGAAAGAGCCGATGTATGACTTTATGCCATATGATGATGAATCCTCCTACTAATACCTTCTTCGGCGTTGGTGGCGGACACTTCCGATGTGCGACGCAAAGGCAATTCTTCTACCAAAAATCCATACCCTTTCCAGCAAACGACCGCTCCGGCTAGCTCGTCCCTGCCTGATCATGATGAGGATTATCGCGCAGCCGAGGACACTTCTAATGACAGCTCTGCCGATCCGCAGCTGATGGAAGCTGAGGGTAATTCCTCGGTTGGGTCTGACTTCTTACGATGCTCAGCGATGGCTGATGACGAGCTTTCAGCTCTTATTACTCTTTCCTCCGATACCACGGCTGCCGCCGCTACCACCACTGACACCCAACCTGCAGCCTTTTCGCTCTATCCTTCACTTCCGTGGATCTTATCGCCCTCCATGTACAGCTTGCTGCTGATGCTGAGGAAGATGACGCTGCTTCCGTCTCTGCGCTTCGGTTGATTGGCTCCAAGAACCTTGCTGCTCTTTGGACGCAGGAAGGAGAGGAGTTGAATGGCCAATTCGACAACCTAGACTGTAAGCTTTCATTCAAAGGTGGCACAAAGAGTACGCTGTTTTTAACACAGTTTTCTTTTTATTTATTTTAGTAGACCAGTATGATAGGTGCTGTCGTGTGTGTTGCTATTCCTGGTGTTACTGCCCCAATATGGGTGTGGTTTTTCGTGCTTCGTGGTTCCTTCGGTGTTCTTCTCTCCCGTTCTGGTGTACCTTTCGTATGTGCTGCCTGCTGCTGCGATTTGTGCGCGTTGTGACACGATGATGTAGAGAGTTTGCATCCGTAGTGGGACCAGCTAGCACCACAATCAGTTACCAAAACCAATCATGTTTCCGTTTCTCTTGTATTTAGCCTGTTGCCTACCGCTTATCTATGGCTGGCCGACTTTTTTTTTGTGTTGACGGTCATGTGCAAGGCATATATCCAAGCAAAATTGCAACCTAGCGTCGGTTTTGGTCGCCAAAGCTAACAGCACAGTAGCCAACAAGTTATGTAAATATAGAGCTTTATATGATACTTTACTTTTCAAGGCATTAGCTAATAAGCATAATAACGCAAACACTAGTCTAATTTTCGCTAGATTGTAGGCATTTGACATACTGACGGGAAGTCTTCTATTCAAACATCTATTCACTCGAAAACACGAAAGCAAGGTCAATGGTATCCACTTGCATTGGTGACGACGAAGGACATCAAACGATTCTACTAGAACCTTCACGATTCAATTTCCATACACAAACTCATTTACCTTCTCTATCCAGCGATTAGACCGTGTGTGCCGTCCGTTACCTCATAAATGCTACCAAGAAGACAAAAAGAGAAGTAGTTATACTAATCCATTCTGTTTGTAGCACAGATGATCAAAAATGGCATGCAACGACATTGAACGCACTTCTTTATATGCTACACATTGCATTCAGCATACCATTAAGACACTCATAGACAAAGAGTGCTTATTACTTTTCAATTTGGGTATGATTAGCGATAATGAGGATGTCCGTTGGATATTACAGCTCTTGATTGGCGGGGAAATTTGTCAGCTGCTACAATTTTGAAAAACAAACGCCAACCAAAGTAAAAAAAAAATCACATGAGAAAAAGCACCCGCGACCAATCATTCAAAAACTTCCTGTAAAGGTGACTTTTCTTTTCTATCGTCTAAACCGAATTCTGCAAAACTTCTTGTGTAGCACGGAGAAAGTTCCTGATTTGGATCTAGAATAAGGGGTGATTTTGTTTTCTGGATTCACGTTGCACGGACGGAAGCAGGAAATCTGCATTGTATATGTCTGTGCAACAAGAATGAGAAACGGCGGAACTCTGAGTGTTCCATTCAGCCGACGCTCTAGAAACTCAAGAAAAAACAATAAACCAATAAATGATTAGCTATAAAGGTGCAGGCACACAAATGTGGTATGTAATGCCCGATGTCACATTTATTTGAAAGATAAGAATCATAGTATAATCTTGCTACGAAATGTACGAAAGCAATGTTGTTTATTTGGGGATGTGTGCATAAAACAAGAAAGTGAAAGTAGTTATTGAGATATAAAAAATAGTGGTAATTAAAAATGCAAGAAAGACAAAGTATACGGTAGGTTGACAAAAATAAGAGCTGATAGTGCTTAGTAGAATGTGTTTTTAAAGGCAGGACTTGCAGCGGCTTTAAGCTTTCTCATCCGCTGGGATTTCCTGTTTCTCATGCCCTTGCTGATTGCCCGATGAACCGCTGTCCGTGCCATTGTTTCCGTTGCGAATATGAGCCAAAGGATCCTTGGGATCAATACCCCGTGCACGTAGCTCCTTTTCGGCACTCTTGACAAGCGTAGCTTTTGTACTGAAGATGACGTCCAATTCTTCGAGAGTAAGGTTCGCAGTCTCTGGGTAGAGGGCCCAGATCACAGGGATAGAAGCAAAGTTAAAGCCGGCGTATAACAAAAAGGTAGCCCATCCAATTCTGGCCAACAGAGGCGGTGTAGATAAAGTCACCAGACCGTTTCCAATGGACCAGCCGATGGTGCTCCATGCACCACCACGAGCTCGCACACGGAGAGGGTAGATTTCCACCTATATGATAATCCATGTTAATATTTCATTTATCCCGGTTAGAAAATATGGTTCTGAGATGTTTGCAGAGTGGCTTGTGATGCAATGAACTTCAACGTACAGGATATAACCAGGTCACCGTAAGCCTAAAGTTTGAACAGCATATGTCAGCCAAACACGAACGCCGAATTTACTCTTCCCACACGAAAACAATTGTTCACATACCAAGTCATGCCAAACAGTGCGGTGTAAACAAAAACGAAGACGGTGGTACCAATGCCGTAGCCCTGAATAATGATGCACCAACAGCAATTCGCGAATAGAAATTAAAGTTAGATGTAAAAGAAGAAGCACAGAACCAAAATCATTTTCATCTTTAAGAGCCGGTAGAAGATATGGCGAAAGAGAAGGGAAACTCGACTTACCAGGGGATCTTGGCTGATGATATTAGGTTTCGTCAAGATGGCAACCATCAATAATGCGATGCCTTGGCCAACGGCTCCATAGAACATGGTGAACCGACGACCCCATCTATCCAAGGTAAATACAGCTACCAGAGTACTAAACCTAAAGACAATTAACCGGAGACAAGCCATCGTCGTAAGCATATATTACCAAATAGGACATCGGTTTCTCTCAACGCAGCCCAAATCCATTCAGTAGAAGTCTCCTTACATGTAGGTAATATTGTTAATACCGGACAAAAGCTGTGAGACAAACCTTGAAAATCCTGCGCTATTGATAAATACTTCCGGTGCATAGATGGTAATCTGTAATGAGCAATGTCAATTAACGATAAATACTATGCTTTCCTTTGTTCTGCTTGCTATTATGAAATACAACTTACCACACCGATTCCAACAAGCTGCTGAATGATCTGAAGCCACACCGTAAGATGAACACGTCGAGGAATATTCAACTGGTCCCTTTCAAACATCATCTTGTAAAAGCTAGGCTCGCCACCTTCGTCTTTTTCCAAACGAAGCGTTTCGTCAATTTCCTTGAATTCTCGGATAACCTCAGGATGTTTTATATCGCCGTCACCACGGAGAGCTCCCAGGACCTCCATACATTCTTTCTCGCGGCCGTTTTTGAGAAGCCATCGAGGCGATTCGGGAAAGAAGAAAACCATAGCAAGGAGGATGATCTGCGGAAGCATCTGGAATGCAACTGGGAAACGCCAAGTAACGCTATTAGACTGGTCCGCGAACGACATGCCAAACGCCAGCCAGTACTATGTTATACAAAACAGTGAGCATGATCAAGTGAAGTTCTCAAGTATCAGCTTGCTTTTGCAAAGAAAGGATAATTACCGCAACGACGACACCAAAAATATTCAATGTAAACTCCATAGCAATGAACATGCCTCTTGATGTAGCGTGTGAAGTCTCAGCACTCCATACGGGAACAATAGTGTTTCTATGCGTATGAATGTACGTGGTTAGAGCATTACCGAACCAACTTTTGACGTAAAGATTATTCAATTTTTTTGCTACTTACAAATAACCAGTGGCAACACCAGTGATGATGCGTGCGCAAATCATCCATGGAACATTCATTGCGGCAGTCTGAAGAGCAGCGCCTACAATACCCCAGAGACAGCCGAGAATTATGCATTTCACTCTTCCGAGCTTGTCACCCGTCCATCCACCGACGAACGAGCCAAGAAGCGAGCCGCAGTAATAAGAAGCGACAACACCACCTCTCATTGTTTCATTTTCGCGAAGGCCCATGAGATCCAAGTAACTGTCTGTGACGTTGACACCGGCCATCAAGCCTTGATCATACTGGTAAAAAGAACGCAAAATTATGTCATTATGCCTAGTATTGCTATGATTTGACACTGTGCTGCTTCGCTGTGGTGGTATAGCCGAGAAACAGGGCATATTGAGAAATAACTACTGCTACTTACACCAAATGCAAAAATACTGAATCCACAGGCGACATTGATAGCAATTACCAGGCTTTTGCCGTGAAAGCTATCGGTTACTTTCCACATGTTACGACAAAAGCAGAAAAAAAGTTTATATTCTGCTGCTATTGGCGGTGCCGACGAAGGAGAGAAAAATCCAGGATTCTGTGATCCCCAGTAGTATGGCCATTTTATATGTTTTTCGAATTTCCAAAACTGGAGGGCCGGAGGACTGCATATCTGCTTTGGGAAACCGGTGTGCCGATTGTAAAAGAGAGGGGAGGCTGAAAACACTTGAGAAAAACGACCTCTTTTAACATCGCAGACCCTCTATTTATAAGAAGAGAGAGGACCGTCACGACCTTTGCTACTATCAACAAGTCATCTTGTGCAGCCATGCACGACACCTGAACTCCATCGTTTGCTATAGATCGCTAATATGATGAGCGTACCCCACACAAAAGCAAGGCTCGTTTTTTGATCTAAATCCATAACGGTGGGACTGTCTGTATTTCGGCATACAAACATACCATACGGGTAATTTTCTACCTTGTGAGTCGCAAACTTAGTGCTTCTACATGGGGGGCGGGGGAGATGTGGGGTACATGCGGCGGAATCCGGGGGCGAAGGATTAGCGCTCAATGGAAACTGAGGAAGATTTTCTTACATACTAAAAATTCGGGAAGGCTGGTGTCACATGTCAGGCTCAGTCGTGCACAAATCAGCAACACATGATCCGACCCTTCGAATCTATGTTGTCTATATACTTTGTTCCATTAGAATTAACATTCAACAATACTGCATTCGAGTGTTGCGTATAATACAGATGTTCACATATATTGTGACCCAGCTGTCCCATTATTTTTTCTGCATTCTGGATGCACTTAATACGATACGCAGGTGTCTGTATTAATGGAAGTCAAGCTAAGCCGACACAGCCGCGTGACAGTCTACACTTCTGGTGATCAAAAATGCCAAACGGTATATATCCAAGCGATGATAATTATAAGAGTAAGAGTCGGGCACCCGAATTGTTGCTTATCAGGTGTCGAGGCAATTATATACAGAGAGCAAGTATAGCAAAAAGTTGTGGTTTCCAACAAGCGAGCGAAACTTAGCAACATGAGAGAGAAGATGATGAGATTCTGACAGAACTCAGAGTTGCAAATGTAGCCTAACGTCTGTGTTTATGAAAGACAGAAATTGTTGCTGTATCACTTAATCACCCAATACTCCGACTGTGTGTGAGATCCAGTGACAACACAAACAAATAGTACTACTGTGGTGAGATCAGATTCCATACCTTCCAACATTTCTTCTTGTGTAAGTGTGTCATTAGTAATGATAAGATGCGCACGAGCCCTTCAAAATCAACCCTCCATCTTTCTCTTTCGCCCTCAAGAAGCTTCTTCTTTCCTTAATGATCAAGATAAGATGTTTTTATCGCCTTTCTTTTCTTTCTAATAGACAATTTTAACTCGATACAGCAAACCCTCTATTTCGATGAAGCAAAAATACGCATTGAGCCAAATGATTGTGGAGAAACTACGCCAATGACAAAGCCGTCCCTCTAACTTAAAACATAAAGCCGGATGTGTGGAGGATCGTCGCACCTTAATTTTAAAGCTGAAAACAGCCAAGTAAAACATATAGTACACTTCCAAAGAACCGAAACGCCGACATCATGGTCACTGCCCAAAGGATAAACCCCGTGTAAGCCATGGATACTTGTTGTTGTGATTCTTCGATCGACGCAGTGTCGTCACCACTATAAACAAGCGATTGTAAACCTCCACTTGTTACGAATGCAACAAGGAGCGCATTACAGCCAATCCATGCCAGTACAAGTCTCGTACGGAACCCTCGATAATAGTCATCTTGTTTCATATGAGGTGGCCGACTCTACACAATTTAACAAAGAATAAACATTTGAGTATATCTGCTGCTGTAGCTATACTTTTTTCCATTGCTATCGCCAATCGATCCAGTGAAAGTTCTCTATGTACCTGAGTGATCGGATCTTGTTTCGTTCGCAGGTTTTGGAGTGCTTCATTATAGTGTCGATTGATCATATCTTGACCATCCTCCAACTCAACTTCAACAGCTTCAATGCCCTTTTCCGTATCAACAGCTTTACTTGCTACACCAAGGTCCATTGACATTGCATTATCACCCTTTGTACCCCAACTAACAGGAGAAAGCCCAGATTGGATATAAGCAAAAAGTTGTCCCTACCCGTGTATACAACATATTTTTACCTGACATCATGCGTATTGCAAAACGCATAAACGTTTAAAATATTGACATAAGTCGGTAGTAAAAGGAGATACTGGATGAAACTGGTTAACATATGCCAAGGATCCAGATAAAGTAGACTTGAAAGTACGTAAAGTCCATAAGTAGATGCCATGGAGATGATAATGTTTCGAAATTCCGGTCGACCGAGGAGAATCCCAAAGTTGATGATAAAGTTGTTGTCGTGGCTCCATCCTTCCGTCTGCATACCCTTGATGATGCTTTTATGCATAAGCCAGACGCCTGCAAATATAGTATAAGCCATAATCAATGCGTATGCCAGTACTGAAACCACAAACATCCACTTTGAGCTATACATGTATGATATACAAACAGTTATAGTCGTACGGTCGAGTTAGTTAATGCCACTTTTAAGATATCCAATCCATCGTTGCTTTCCATTTCCGTGTTTCCTCGCATAAACAGCGCACAGACACACGCACAACACACACCATAGTTCCTGATACTGTACCCTTGAGGCCGATTACCCATCGAGCATATAAATGATACAATGAACAGAAAGAAATACAGGTATTGGACAGTTTGAAAAACGCGATTTCCCCATCCATTGCTCAACGGATCCATATCCGGTGTTGTCAATGACTTGCTTATGAAGTAGCATGTTAGATAAAAGTTTGCCTACAATATAGTGAAAAGATTTGAAGATGATAAGCATTGAGTCAGTGATACACAGTGCCATGTGATTCTTCTCTCGCCCCCAATATCAATAGTTTCTGAAAAAATAAACATTCCTTTTCCACATATCATATAATACTTTACCATGCCTAACCAGCTAAAAAGCAAGTTTGCAAAGTTAAAGGCAAACTGGACCGTCAAAAGAATCTTTCTGCACACCGTATGACGAGTACTCCAGACTTTCGAGAAGTGCCAAGTCGAATAGATAGCAGCAAAGAAACTGCCGTTCAGCCAACGTCGGCGCTGGGACAAGAATTCAGGCAGCTGATCAGGGCAATCTGTTTCACCGAATGCAGACTGGACATATTTCAATACCCATTTCTCATGCTTTTTAGCTAAAAGCTCGTAACAGAGGATTCGGTCTTCAGCGAGATACATATTGGCTGTAAATATATCCGAGGTTGCGTCAACACCATGTTCACCCAGAAAGTATTTTTGTAGCGGTCCTGGATGCATACTGTTTTAGCTCGTTATGGATACAGCTGTTACCTAATTCCAATTCTCTAAACCTACCATTGCCATGACAGTCATTTTGTAGCGCAGCGTATCGGTATGCTGAAAAAGCACCAGGAAGAACAGAGATATAGCCAAAGACGGATTCTAATGGCTTATCTAGAATATTGGACATCTTGTACTCGAAATTCTGTGCAGCAACAATTGGATTAAGCAAGGCGACACCACCTAAAACATGTAGATACAAAGCAGTGATTATCATTAGCTATACTGTTAGATAATCAGAAGATTAGCATGCTGAACCAACTAACCTTTAGTTTGCACGCGGATCTCGCCACAAGCGCCTGCAATGTTGGCATTGACATCAAATGTTTTCCAGATATGGTATATAGACGTGTTACCGGGGCGTGTGCCAACATCCAGCAATACACATACATTCGGCTGTAGTATCTTTCCGAATGCGTTAAAAAACCATCGATGGGAGTTGATTTTTTTGGCATTTTGCTCCTTGAGACAGAACAGAATTTGGGCTGGAATGATCCCTTTTTCTGCACCTTTAATTCGCATCTCCGAGTCCACCGATATTTGCGCTGTATACTACCATCATAAACGTCATACACAATATAGTTGCGTGAGATAATTTGAACAAACTACAATGCTCAAACTTATACAGCCATTACCTCATAGAGATGAGCTTTGACTGGCTTGTCGTTAACCATGTTTTTCGCAACACCTTTTTGATATACCCCCATGGTTTCCAGCACATCCAATACTGCTGGATCGCATTTTTTACGGCCATCTGCTACTATACACACCACCACTTTCTTCCACCCTTCAGTATCCCACATGGGCGATCGTGTTCGGGAACATAGGTGCGCAATGTTCTTCATAACACCATGCATGGTACGGCAGAAGAGTTCTCTATCTTCCTAACATAGAATAAGTTTACCCACAGAGCAGAAAATGGGAGGGCGCTATAGCAAAACAAAATTTTTTCTTTTGTATTTTTAGAAACTTACATTGTACATGGTCATTACTATAAACAGTTCCGTTTGTCGCTTCATTAAAGCCGGTCGTAACGTATAATGACAAGCTGCAAAATCATCGGGATCGCAGGTTACTGCAGAATAACGCATATGGTTGAATTCTGCATCTTTACGTGCACTAGCTTCCAGTAATCGTGTTGGGGCAGGACAGTCCAGTATCAAGTTGCCTTGGAAAAGTGGTACTTTTTTCGTACGTCGTGGACCTCGCCCCCCACCGCCCAACTTCCAGCTATCCGTTGTTGCTGCTGTTGTCGTTTGAGGAAATGAACCAGGTAGCGATTGTTGCTGTTGTGCTGGTAGGCGATGGTGTTGGTGATGGTGATGACTATGATGCTGCTGCTGCTGAAGAAAATGCATTGATGGCGCATGACTACTGCTACCCCCTCTCATATAATTATCATCAGTAGGAGGCTGTTGCTGCTGTAGACGCCGTTGATGATGTTGTGACCGATAACAAGTCTGGATGCTTGGCATAGGAGGGACATTATCGTGGATTGCAGGATTGGCTACATAAACATTATTACTAGATTTAAGCGAGTAGGTGTCGGATACTATCGACGAACGTTTTCGTTGTTGCTGTGGCGTATACAATTGCTGCTGCTGTTGCTGCTGCTGTTGCATTAAAGCAGCTGCCTTACGAAAATTGGGTGCAGAAGTTCCACCATGCATAATTATGCCGCTGTTATTACCCTCTGGGATGGCCATAGGTTGTAAGTGTTGTTGCGATACACTTGGTGCCGGAGAATAGAAGCCAGGATAGACTCGTGGAGAAGAAATTGATGGTGATCGTACAGAGTAAGCGTTGTGAGAGTTATGGCTAAAATGGCCACTTTGTTCCATTATCTATTGGTTTTTTTTATCTTGCAATTTAAAAAAAAATGAACGAAGAAGAAAAAGGGGCAGGCAGGAGGGAGATACTCGGGCAACGGGGAGTAGCAGCTTCGACAACATTTTTTATGAAAATAAAAAATCTCCGGCTTGACATATCCAGCATTTCTCATGCCTACTGTAACCCTCCAGGATGGTTGCATCGGTATTATGTTCAGCATTATGATCAAAACCAGTAACTTCCAATTCATATGTCGGTCACTCTACTGCTGCAGAATTTCATGTAAGATGTAAGGGGAAAACTACTGCCAAAACATGTGGAAAGATCTTCAATAACTAAAATAATTCTATTAGAAGAGGAGAGCTTTTATTATGCTAAGCCTGTATAGAGGAAAGGGCATATATATACACAGTAAAAAGAGGGCAAATACTCGTCTAACATTGTACCAGTAGGTATCAGCAGTGAGTTGTAGCCAAACTACTTTGCCGTCGTCTATGATTGTTTCAAGCCTTACCAATAAGTGGCGCGCAGCCATCCACCTACTAAATGGAGGATAACAACAGTGTATGTGGCTAATAAATGGCGAGTTATGCAGATAGTACAAATGAGCAAGCTATTGTGGCGACGTATCATGTTTAGGGGTCCGCCTACATAATGTTATGCATACGCAGTTCCCCTTTTCTGTTTGGTTTATCATCTGAACTTGTGGAGCTGGCCATACGTAGCATTGTTCTGCGTATTGCCTGCTCTTGCTTACTTGCAAGAATATCGGCTCCTTGCGTCACTTGGATTCAATTTAGAAAATGTGCATGTTCCAGACATGAACCACTCTTGCGATATTGCGTCAAACTACACGGATATACGAGAAGAAAATGACTTAAAACGACGCCGAGGAGATAGTGTATAGCAGTAGTCAACTTGAAACATTTTTGAAGATGAGTGACAACTCCAATAACTTGTGCTTTTTCGTTGCAGGATGGATTTAAACCGTTAAGCCAGTTGGGAGAATGAGCGTCAAGTTGTTTGGTTGTTCACCATCTCTCTTTAAACGGTGAATATTGATGATCGCAGTCGATTGTCCCCAGTCAAATGCCAAAACCTCTATACATGCTAAGCATCCGTTCTATATATCATCCGTTGCTTATGCCACAAAATCATCGTGATCCACCGTCAATAGTCCATTTACTTGAGACTTTGTATTATCATAGCTAATAATATTATTATACATATATACTTTATTGCTTTTTTTGGGTAGTGGGATAGATCGATAAGCAGCGAGTTTCCTACTGAAACGGTATAAATAGATTTATGGATATACTAGTTGGTGATTTGTATTCAATGTGTGTATGCTTTGTATGTGCACTGTTACAAAGGGCTCAGCTCTGTCGCTGACGCAATGCACACTTTTTTTTATGACAATGATGGCTTCATGATGGGCATGGTGCGTCTACGTTCCTGCTTGATAGCAGCCCAGTCGATTGTTGATTTTGCCTGCTGCTTGAGGCGCGTGTTCGCACCATTCAACTGAGCAGCCTTGAGCTTTTGCTCCTCCAATTCCCTTTCCTTTGCTTTAGCGTGCTCTTGTCTGGCTCTCACAGTTGCTGTTAGCCCTGGACGGAAAGCTGATTGTGTTCGAGATAAAGGTGGCGATGCTGATGCTGTTGAGGGTGTTCTTGATGCACGCGTTGTGGTTGTCGGTGTAATGGTTGCTCGTGTAGCTGGTGGCATGGATGCTCGTGCAGCAGGTGTTTTGGATGATCTAGCCGAAGCAGGCGCCGTCTTCGCAGGGAGTGTTGGTGTCTTGGACGGCCGTGGTGTTGTATTAGCTAGCAATTTTGTTTCGTTTGAGTTAAAGCAGATAGTGATAACCAAATGAGGAATACCTCTCATCCAATCCTGCAATGAGACATACCTGGCGAGTTCGTTGCACTTCTGCGTAGCGTCGATTTTTGAGAAGATCCAGTGACAGTGTGGGATCGTTCCAAATATGAACGCAGGTCAGGGATAGGCTTACTCGATGCAACACTTCAGAATAGATAAACACACCCGCTCAAACTGTCAGACTCAAGAAATGACCGAGCATTTATTTATATTGCTTGATTTCGCCTTTTGTTCCTCTCATAACTACCTCATCGTTCTTTGCATCTTTTTATCTGCACTTGTCGTTGGTTCGTCCCCTATTGTAATCATCGGTTCCCGATTCCCAAAAGAAAGGTAGATCCAGCATTAACAAAAATCATGACACTATGTGGATCGAGCGATATTAAGGAAAAGGACCAAGTTGGAGACTTTATATAGGACTTACAAGGTACCCAGGTACTGACTGTTTCTCGACGCGCAGCTTTGACTTGCTTATCCTCGCTTTTTTTGGCATCTAAACGTGGAGATGTCATAGGAGAAAATTAACAGGTTGATAAAGTTGGATCGACAATGCATGGAAAGTGAAAGAGGAGAAGACATTGAACAGGTTGTAAAGTCAAGCCATACTTATGGGCTCCGGTTCGTCATGATGCCCCCACCATTCTGGGAAGGTATATGGCACGCCTGATTTTGTCGGTGGAGGTGTGTCCGTTGCGGATCGTACGGAAGAAGAAGCGGATGAAACAGGTGTAGGCTCAGCAGTGATGGCAGCAGGTGGTGGTTTTGCTGCTGCTGCTGCTGCTTCATATTCCTGCCTTGCAGCGGATGACAGTATTCTTTCGCTTATGCTCGCTACTGGTTCTGGTGCTGTTGTATAGGACGCTGCTGCTGTCGTTGTCGCTGTTGCACTTCTTTCCAAAAACAAGGACTATGGATGCACTCCAAGAAACAAAACAAGTTAGTAAATACTACATGATATAATATACCTTCTCTTTTGTTTAAAGCTCTGTAGTAAGCACCAGAGGCTTCTAATACCTGGTCTATGCCATCAGTGGCTCCTTTAGCGATTAGGCTCTTACTTATACTAAGAATCTTTTCACGGTCATTTGAATAAAGGACGGCGAAACAGATGAGTTCTCGAAGCACATTGAAAACATCGGTAGGCGGATGCCTGTTGAGAAACTCATGTACATAAGGTGGTAATGTAGAGAGAAATGATTCCATGACTACTAGGTGACAAAAGGGTATTTTGTATGTACAACACGGAAAAGAAGGGAGTAAAGGCACCGCTTTACACTTGCTGGTTGCATCAAGTGTCCGTGTACCACGTTATGTTTTATTCGGAGATTGAGGAGAGACTTCTTGCAAACACACACCTCCTTGCTTTCTTCATCCTGATTGACTGCCATATACCATGCCGCTCTGCGCAATATGGAAGACAAACATTCGGCTTATTAGAAATTAACTACTTGTTTCAAATGATGTCAAAACGCATAAGTTTGTGAGAGCTGACGTTGTTTGAAGCTCTGACACATCATTCGTGGATCTATGCTTAATATTGGTGCATAAAATATGCACGCATGGCAGCCATTGCTACTATTAGCGTTGTTCTGTCTTGCTGCTGTAGTTATCATGATGGTGTTGGTATATAAGTCACATATCTATAATCGAAATGGAATGTTGCTCACTATACCAGCTGCTGAACGATAATTGACTTGGAAAACAAGTAGGGGTAAGCATTAGGATCGAACTCCACACACATGTACTAATATTTTCAAAGAGTCGCCCCTAAACTTCATGTCATCCAAAAGCAGAACTCTAATAAGCCACCTGACAGACATGTGGTACACCGAAGAATGACGCACGGTCACCTGTAATAAAAGTTGATGTATACATTTCTGACATGCAGTACTGTTGTTGCCATAACATTTTACGCCTATGACGACAACAGAACAGCTCTCGCATTATTGTTTTTCTACTTTTCGTGTAATACATGTGCGTGACATCTCGGGCTATTAGAGAACTCACACCATCGTCGTTCACATGGTGTCTATGCATTGATCAAGTGAGAAATGCGTGGTCACAGACGCGTTTCGACGCGACTACCGCTACTACATTATAACGATACTAGACAATCCGATCATTTTTCTCTAACTTGAATTTTAAATGGTATTTTGTCATAAACAAGCGCTGTATAATAAAGAAAAGTTAATTAGAGCAACATATGAGAAGAGAAATGTCACAGTCGTTACAGCTGAATGAGCTTGAGAGTGAAAAAAAGATAATGCCTACTGCATTAAATCGCACAACTCAAAATAGCTATATTATGCAAAGACTTGCTCTTCTGCTGCTATATGGACAGGAATACGCTAGCTATCGTTGCATTGGGCTCGGAAACAAAGATGTTTTCCTAGCTTATACGTTAACAATGTACAGTAATCTACGATTGACCTAAGTCAATATGTAGATCTTTTTTGAATACCATCGGTGCATCGCATGTTCAAACCACTACATTACCTTTGCTTTCTACGGTATGGTGGAATTCACTGCCTACAAACCTTCATACAAAGCCATAGTATGTGATTTGTCATGATACCAGAGTTTACTTGCTTATTCTTTTCTAACCGCTGGTGAACGAGAGGGTGAGGAAGAAGTCCGTGGATATGGTAAGGTTTAGCTTATATGTAATTTTTAGCTTTTGATTGAAAGGGAAGGAGAAATCTAACAATGATGGATATGCCATTTCCACTGCAATACGCTTCATCTCTTACGTGTTTTTTTGGATAGGTTCAACTTCATCTCGCAACCTGATATACCAGTAGTTTCTTCCTTTTGCTGTGATGCTATCGTGGTAGTATATATTTATTGTACAAGATTGAGTATCTTCGCGTTAGTAACAGATCATTCACTCCGTGGACTCTCAAATGACCTGTGCCGTAATAATCAGGGAAATAAGTATTATCGCGACGACTATAACGTGGAGCACCAAGATATTTTTCATCATAAGGTTTAACTGTCGTCCGAGGATCGTTCATTCCAAGGATTCAGACATTCCGCTAATAGCACTCACCACTGCCTTTTGCATATTGCGCTGCTGATGATGGCTAATATAACTCAATCTTCGAAAGCGGTGGCGGCTGCACGGGTGAATGACTGGTTATAACGAAATGGAAAAATAAAAGCACCAAATTATCTCTTATAAGGCTTGTTTTTACGTCTTCAAACGCCATTTCAAACATGGACAAGTACATGAAAAAGTTGTATGCTTATCAAGCAGAACTCTTAGCTTAAAAGTGTATTTTACAGTAGCATTATACGGTAGTGAGCTGTTAGTGGAGATATAGTTTTTCAAACTAAAAGGGTGTATAGAATTCGAGGCACATTGTTTATCGCCGCTCATCATCAATGAACCATGGCGAGAAAAAGAACCTAATTCGCGTGATGACAAATGCAAGCACCGGGCCAGGTTGCCCTGCTTAATACATCTCTATATTATCACGGCGGTCTGTTATAGTCAAAGTAGATGCTCACAAACAAAACATGGGTATAGATACCCAGCATCATCAAGTAGTACAGCATGATTATCTTTTCCAAGTGCTGCTGTTTACCATTTATAAAGTATCACTAAATAGCAGTTGGCCAGGGTACAGCAACAACAAATGCTAGTTAGATGATATCATATCATAATATCTCTCAATCATTCTTTTTGCTCTGATGCATAGCTGATAACCATACTTCCGCGCTACTGCAAAATCTGTTGCAGTTGATAATTTAAGCGTGCTCTCCATTTTTCTTTTCGGGGTACTTTGAGTCAATAAAAATGCCCCATCTATTCGAACAAAAATTCTAAGCTTCCAGTTGAAAGTAAACAGCCACAGCGTCGTAGATACTACATGGAGTGGTAGAGAAGTATGATAAGACACATCTTTAAATTTACACTTACTACGTACGCCCAGGGGTCAACAGATTTACACAAACACAAAATAAATAAAAGGTATAACACTGGCCACGCGAGCGCATTGTAACACTAATGTACTACCAACAAAATCCGCGGATTCTCAAGGTAAAAGCTGCAGTAACGTACTGCATACTGAAGCACTCAAGCTATTGATAGCGTATAGCTCACTGTTACGACAAGTGGTCGACTGTATAGCATGCAATTGACTCAACAACAGCATATTTGTATAAGAATTTTCTTTCTAGATTTCATGAGATAAGCATTGGGTGTCTTATATCGACATGAACGAAAGCTTGGAAGGCGCTGAAATGTTGACGCTGTAAAAACCTGACCGCTGCAATATAAACAGCGCACGAATTTTCTTTAGGCGTAGTCGGTGATTAATACCTTGTGCCTGTGCGCTGTTTATGTATCGGAACGGACGGACGGACAGATGAGCGGATAATTGGGGGAGGGTCGATATTAGTCAACCGAGTCTTAATTGCGTTATCAGCAAACATATCAGAGAAGACATTCTTCTTTTTGGGTTGTGGACTACCTCAGCAGCTTCTCAAAATAAGCTGATTATGTATGCGCTAGACGATGGGTGACACGACCACCCTGGTGCCGTGTATATGCAAGGGCGTGAAGAGGGGTGGTACGGCCTGAGCAGATTACAGTGGTTGAATGGTTCACCGCAGCAAGTCAGATGCACCAATCGGAGAATGAGTGGGACTTGCGCCTTTTTTTTTATTGTTGGTTCCACTTTGTCCCCGCTGGACCTTTTTCTCAAGCTATTTTTTTTTATTTAAATAGCATATTCGCTCTACCGTCCAGGATAGCCACATTTCTCTCTCTCCCCCCGCCCTTCTTTTCTGTCTCTCTCACAACGTACCAGCAAAATCATGGCTAGCGCACCCGCGACCCGTTTCAAAATCCAACTTGAAAGCCAGTCGATCATTCTTTGCGGCACACCAGAACAATCGACAGGCCGATTACTGCGTGGCAACCTTATGCTACATTTGCGTGCGCCCATACGAGTCAAGTCCATCAAAATGCGGTTGTTTGGTCAAATGAAACTCCAATGGCATGACAGTACGTCTCATCTCCTTTCTATAGCACATAATTAACCATCGTAAACTAATGCATGATGCAAAATGGCCCGTGTAGCTAGCAAGAAACGAACTGTTATTGATCATGAATGGGTATTCCTCGAGCCATCCAAACAGGGCCCTCACATTATTGAGGCCGGGGCCCATACGTATCCCTTTGAGCTACAGCTCCCTGGCGATCTTCCTGAAACAATCGAGGACAGCTCATATGGTCAAGTTTCTTACAAGCTCAAGGCAATTGCTGTACGACCTGCGCTAGCATCCAATCTGATTGACCGCGAAGTCTTGCACATTTATCGACAACCCACCATGATGGATCGAGCAGATTTAGACGACGCAAGATCCGTACGCGTCTCGGGCTACCACGAAGATATTATGACCTACGAACTCGAATGTCGCCAAAGGATCTTTCGACGTGGTGACCGAATCCCAGCGAAGATCCATCTTTGGCCTAACGACAACAATGACGATGACTGGTCAGTCCGCTATGTTTGCTGCGTGTTCAAAGAAATCATCACGTTCGATAACCTTATCACTTCGCATCATATCACCAGTTTCAACAACAAGATCACCGAGACACGGATCTTACGTTTTGCTCGCGACGAACATTTCCCATCTCTCAATACCCAACACTGTTCCAAGTCCATGCCAATCCCTGTTCCACGATACGCGAAATACGACACTTCAAACTCGCTTCTCAACATTGTTCACCAACTCCATTTTACCATTTCTCTGGTCAATAACACCGACGGCCGCCTGACAGAGCTCCGGGCTGCACTGCCGATCTCTGTGGCGCAAGATGAACTGGTTGAAGCACTCAGACTCGCAGACGGCGATCTCTTGCCAAGTTACGAAGATGCACGACGATCCGCACCTTATATCCCTGACATGACAATGCAGATCGACTCTCCTCCCAACACACCGACAGACGAACTGGATGATTGGCTCAGCACACCTAGAATCAACACTGACAATGACAACGGCAGTATGAACAGCAATAGTGAGTTACCGTCACTTTGCGACAGTCCTCCACTCTATTATTCTCCTTTACCATCTTATGAGACTATCATGGCACTACCGGCTAATAGAACGCTGATCAGATAATGTGTTTCTTCCTTATTCGATGCTATCTTATAATCCATTACCTCCTCCCCCTCGTCGTCATTCCCTTAGAAAAAACTTTTTCTTATGCATATGCCCTCCGCCATCAACCCTCTCTTATCATCTCCTATTACTGCTAGTCGCGTTTTCGTGGTAGATTTCAGAACGAATGATGCATGCATCATCCGCTTTTTTTGTAAAATATTGCATATCCCAACCTTTCCCAGCATTTGTTTATACACAGTCACCTCATTTCATCATCATCACTATAAAAAAAATAAACAGAGTTTGATCTAGAAGATGTTTTCGGAACAATTGAATCGTACTGCATAGAATGCTGCCAAGATCGACGAAGCATGCATCTCGAAAGTTTCGCAGAAAACCGCAGCTAATGCAACAGGATTTACTCCTAGTTATTATCAGTGGCTGCTCTTTTTTTTTATTGCATATGGGTAAAGTTAGTAAACGGTGAAAGAAGTAAAATGTTTGATGATCAAAGAACACAACGACACTAAGCAACAGAGACAGGAAGGATGCATAACTGTACAACGTCACACGATATTTTATTCTTGTTTGTTGATTTCGAAGGGGGAGAAAAAGAGACACACGCATCGCAACTCTAAAGTAAGCTTTTTTATCTAGTCCCAATACTTGATCAAACCTATGATGAGAAAAAAAACGTATATTTCTTGCGTTAATACAACTGCATATATTCTCACTACAGCTTTCTTTTCTTTAACAAACTACTTACCATCCCAAGAACAAGTTGCCATCTTTGAAGTTTCGTGCGGATGCCATATGGTGTTCATGACAACCTTGTCGTGTGCCTTGAACTTTTTCAATATCCGGCAAGTCTTCCAATCCCATGTCCATACGTTGCCGTTTGAGTCACCACTGCTGATAAATCGACCGTCAGATGAGAAACCTGGCTTGCAAGCATAACCTGCAACCAAGTGGCCGGCAAAGCGTTTCTTGCGGTTCATTCGGAATCGATCGCGAGCACCATAGACCACAATTTGATTATCCAACGATTGACATGCCATCCATTTATCTATTAATGTTTTTAGAAAGCGATTTAGCTAAACAACCACAGCACAGCAAACGGGTAGCAAACCCACTAGATGCAGAATGAATGGAATAGAACAGGACTTACTGTTAGGATGAAGTGTGACAGCTGGCATAGAATGCATATCTGGTTCAGCAATATATTTGATGACAACAGGAATATCGTACTCCCAAGCACGCATTGTCTTGTCATCTGACGTGGTAATGAATCGTCGATTATCGTCGACAAATGTGATGGTATTGACGGCACCCAAGTGTTGATCATATTCTTGTGTGATTTCTCCACTATCCGCATCAAATTGCACAATCTTCTTGTCTGAGCAGCCTGCCAAGAAAATGTTTTGTTTGTCTTCGTCTGGATTGAACGTGACGCAGTAAGGGACCTTTCCTGTTGAGAAGGATCGAATGCATTGACCTGTAAAAATATTGGTGCAAAATGAGTTAAATAACCCAGGAGTAATGCCTTTATGTCATTCCCCCTTTATCAGCTCTTTCGAGTAAGCAGTCTTACCTGTTTCTGTGTCCCATAACTTGATATTACGGTCATAACTTGCACTCAAGAATCGTCGACCGTCGTTGCTAAAGGCAATATCTCGAATAGCCTTTGTATGTCCAACATATGTTCGAAGCAAGCTCCGATCGTGATATACGTCCCAGATCTATCATCAGCCCGTCATAGTTTAGTCATTTCTAAGTCTTGGATAGCCCGCAATTCTACGATCAACGAATTGAAAAAAAAAATTACCTTAACTTTGTTGTCCATACCAGCACTTAGAAGCAAGTGGGCGGACGATGGCAAAAATCGGATAGCCGAGACACCCTTGGCGTGGCCATCCCATGTATGAATACAACGCTTTGGTACAAAGCATTCCTGTGATCCAGCTTCTCCCAGCAGGTTGACATCCACGTCCTGAGGTACGGCCATGTACGTTCGTCCCAAGTAATCGAATTCGGATGCACCATGGAAAGTGGTCTTTTCCGTCCCATGTTCCATTCCTCTGTTTCGTTCCTTTTTGCCCGGTTTGCTTTCTTGTCCAGCAATCGCCACAGCCTTTCCTTCCTCCCCTTCTGCTGCTGCTGCTTGCTGCTCTTCTTCTGTAAGCTGTTTCTTGAACTGTTTTGCTTCTTGTTCACCTTCATAACCAGCCCACGGACCTTTGTAAGCATTTTCGCCTTCCACTATACTCAAATCACCCTTTTTATCACGACGTTTTCTCAGATCCTTGTTGGGTCTCAAGTGTTTGGGTACGCTGTCGTAAATCGATGCCCCACCCATATGTGCAGCGGCTGCCAGGTTACCAACATAACCCGTGCCCAACAGACCTTGGCCTGTCTGTCCCGACAGATTCGAGCTGCCAAGTGAAGGATCGCGTGCATAGCCGTACGTTTCGAATGTTCGCAACTGCTGTCGAAAATCAGATTCGGAAATGGCTTGTTGTTCGACGTGACCCGTCAAGATGTTTTGTTGTGAAAGGCGTTGATCCGTCACTGGGTTTTCGGGGCCGTACATGGGTCGCATAAGATCATCGTAAGGTACATTGACAGTTAATTCGGTTGCCGTTTGTGATGCGTAGATTCGATCAGAGTGATCCTATTTTTTTTCAAGTCAAAATGTATATACATTAGATCTACTATACTATGTAGTATTACGTACAAGTTGAAATTACAAAAGAAAAACACGACTTTACATCATAGCCCGTATCAGGCGTGGCATTAATCTTTACTGTGCTTTTGGATTGGCCATTGGAGGTATTTTGGACGTTGGAAGTGACTTGGTCGTCTTCATCACTTGAGCCGTAATTATTATTGACGAGATCCATTTCGGCTTGCGGTTAACAAGGATAAAAAAAGTGAGGAAAGCGGGGCAACAAGCGATTTTTCTGCTTGAATTATTTCTAGCCTATCTGGACACAGGGAATGGCCTACTCTTCGACCCAAACGATGTTGGACAGTTTTAGTGATAATTGAGCCATGACTGATTCTTTAATAGGATTACTCGCATTATTCGTAAGGGTATTCCCGTTTCTATGTCCTCCCACACCTATTGAGCAAGCAATTGCCTTCCTTCCAAATATTTTCATCAAGCCATCATATTTTTCTACGGTGCACTCTCTTCTCAGCTCTTTTGCTCGTCAACTTAAGACTCTCTCGTGTATAAACTCTCGCTCTACATAGCACAGTAGGAAAGCGATGATGAGGGCATATATGTGTGTATGAGCAAAGTTTAATTGTTTGTGTATATGCAAAGTAGGTAGCAACGTAGCAGTAGTAAAAGATATAGTATGCATTTTCAAGACAATGTCAAGTACAACAGCTATAGCTTTCTTTTCATTCCCTTATTGGGTTCCTTCAGCACCTTTTCGAAGCTCGGTTAAAAGAGCACGAAGCTTCTCGCGCAATTTGGTCACCATTGCATCTTCTTCGCGATCAGGCATGGGTAACTGATCCAACAAATATTCTGCTTCATCAATTGTACTATTATTATTTTTTTTTGAAAACAAAACCACGCGTTAAAACAGCAGAATAGTAAAGTCGGGTTATTTGAGGCTTACAGTACAACAGGTCCTCTGTTCATCTTTGGTTCTTTTTTATAGTTGCTTGTATATGCGTAAAGAATGCTGGACAAAAACGCGCAAGGGCTCTTCTGTGTCTTTTTTTAATCGGCGGCGGAAGTAAATAATAGTAAAATCATGCGCTTGTCGTGATAGTTGCATGTGGCAACGGCGCGGCCCTCTTTCATTTTTACTTTGGAAGAAGATTCTAGATGTATATATAAGTACTGTTGTGGAGCAGATGGGGTGAAAGCATCCCTCGCCGTCAGAACAGACGACATTCTTTATGGCAACAACATGTCGGTACTTGACTTCATGTATTTAATACATTTTGCCTTGGCTCTCAATAGCCGTAGTAGTATCACGTTAGTACGGATATATCTGAATGACTAGTTGTTGTCAACAGTTTTCCACCAAACGAAGCACCTATCAATAATGCTCACTATATGACAAGTAGAGAGCACCACTTGTATCGAGTTTTAGAAACACTACTCTGTGATATTTACGTTGGTATGACTTGGACGATTTAGCCGTGTATACATATACTCATCCGAGGCTTATGAACCAGGCTAATAATCCGTAGAAACCGCAGCAGTAGTGCAGCAAAAAAGGATCAACTATCAATTTCATTGTTGTTAATCACTACTACTTGAACAACCAAGGATAGCAGAAAACGATTGAATTGAGAAAATAGTTTATTGTTGTCGGTCATTACAAACCCGTCGTGGGTGACAAAGCTTATTCATCATGCTGACGATGGCGTATATGTTTCTCTGACACCACTACGCATCACCAGTTCCCATTCATCCGATCGTTTTATATGGGCTGCTGCAAAATTCAGCAGCATGAAGTGCTTGTGTCACCTTCACTCTTGCAGGTTCGCCAACAAACAATTCACCTGCTTCTATTATTTTCGAAGGGCGCTGCTCTCTCTCTCTCTCTCTCTCTCTTTCGTGTGTGTGTGTGTGTGTGTGTGTGTCTATCTCTCTCTGTCTTTCCAGCAGCCTGTACACTACCCTATATCCCCCTTTTTCTTTTTGTTTCGACTCAACACCATTTCGGAGATCTTTTTTCTACCAAAATATCCATCCAATTGTAATGTATGTAAACTTGTTTTATATTCTTGTCAGTAACCTGGGGCTTGGCGATGGTGGCAACGAGGTGTGTGGCAAGTGATGTTAGTGTGTGAGAAGAGAAAAAGAAAAAGACAACAAAAATAGAGTGAGCGTAAATGTGCGTGGGTGGTAGGGGATTCTCGACAACAAGCGCGTTTTTAGCCTTTGACCGGACTCAATGCATAAATTCTCATTTAGCACTCAAACCACCATTTCTTTTGTTCCGCCTCTTCTCCCATAACACTCAAAGACAGTTTAAATTACCACCATGAGCGAAATAACGGAACATGTCGACATTGATTCAGTCATTGCTAGACTTTTGGAAGGTAACAAGCAAAAAAAAACACCAGGAAGAAGCCTCGAGGGAAAAGTGTTATATGTGGTTTTTCATATTTATTAACAAATTCACACACACACGGTTATTACCCACAGTTCGAGGAACACGGCCGGGAAAACAAGTGCAGCTGGCCGAGCATGAAATACGATACTTGTGTCAAAAGTCAAGGGACATATTTATGGGGTACTTTACACACATTGTAGATTAGTCAAAGACAGCATCTTCTTCTTACTTTCTGTGTTTCGAGAATAGCCAACCGATTCTTCTGGACCTCGAGGCACCCTTGAAAATCTGTGGTAAAACTAGTTGTCTTCCGTGACTTTTAGAAAGAAGCCAAGAGATATACTAAGACGATAGAGGAGTATAGGTGACATCCACGGACAATACTACGATCTACTACGGCTGTTTGAATACGGCAAGTTCCCACCCGAGTCAAACTATCTGTTCATGGGGGATTACGTGGATCGAGGCAAACAATCGCTGGAAACCATCTGCCTGCTGTTAGCATACAAAATCAAATATCCACTCAACTTCTTTATACTCAGAGGAAATCATGAATGTGCAAGTATCAACCGCATCTATGGTTTTTATGACGAATGTGAGTTTATTATGACGGCTTTTGTTGCTGTTGTCAACGGGTGCACTTTTATACGGTGGTGTTCATACCGTGAGCTAGGAAGGCTCACCTCTTTTATGTTATCAAGGCAAACGACGATACAACATTAAGCTCTGGAAAACATTCACGGACTGCTTCAACTGTCTGCCGATCGCTGCCATCATTGACGAAAAAATCCTGACAATGCACGGTGGCCTGTCGCCCGACCTTCAGAGTCTGGAACAGATCCGACGGATTATGCGGCCGACAGACGTACCAGACACCGGACTGTTATGCGACTTGTTATGGTCGGATCCAGAGAAAGACGCGGCAGGCTGGAACGAGAATGATCGTGGGGTCTCGTTTACGTTTGGTGCAGACATTGTCGGCAAGTTTTTACAGAAACACGATCTCGACTTGATTTGTCGTGCACATCAGGTCGTTGAGGACGGATACGAGTTTTTTGCCAAGCGGCAGCTGGTCACATTGTTTTCGGCTCCCAATTATTGTGGCGAGTTTGATAATGCTGGTGCCATGATGACTGTGGATGAGTCTTTACTCTGCTCTTTCCAGGTAATATATCTACATAGTGTACAGTGCACACAAGATTGTTGTGGTCTTTGCTTCTTCTTCTTCTTCTAGGAATGGGGTTTGTTTTACTGATATATATGATATTTTACCAGATTCTGAAGCCGGCAGAAAAGCGGTCTCGTGATGCGTACAATGGTCGTGGACGATATCGAAAGTGATCAAAGTGGTTGTACAAAAAAAAGGCCATCAGGAACGATAATAAATAAAGCCAAAAAGCGACTTTTGAAGCAGCAAAGAGCGGATGGATGCTGGACTGTATGTATAACCTTTGGAAGCTTAGAGGCTTACTCAAACAAAAAGCTGCATGACAGTGGATGAAGTATACAGTTCTATTTCAACGTATCAACTATAGTAGTTGAATAACGCTGATGAAAAAGGCACAATTTGCGTGTTGATTCTGGCTGACTTGGCTTGACTACGTTGCCGAATTAATGACTGCATATCAGCATAAATTACGACCTGTCTACACAAAGCGATGTAAAGAAACCCAGTTCCGTGCACATGACCATGCTTCTTTTAAGCTGCGCGGGTTTTAGGAGCTACAATATAGATATTTTTGATTCGAAAAGTGATCAAAATTCCTTCTTCTTTCGCTCATGAGCATAGACAGTATTAGTATTAGTGAGTATTGAAGCCCATTATTTCTTTAAATCTCGTAAGTCTTGCTTGAAGCTAAACAATGGCAATTTGCGTGTTTGTAGAAAAAGGCTCACGACGATTTAAACCGAAAGGATCTACACAGAAGCGATCAAGAGAAGTTGAGAGCGATCCTCTCTCTCCTAGTACTACTGCTACTACCACTACCGCTTTCGGCAGTGCTATTTCAATTACAACTAACACTACAACCTCATCAAAGTCATCATTGCTGCCTTCATCCAATTTATTACCACGCACATACCCTGCACCATCACCACCATCACCACAACAACAACAACAACAACAACAACAACAACAACAACACGATACAAGCCCAGTTGAAAGAAAACGCTCAGCACCTAACAATGACCAGCCCAATAGCAATTCGCCACACGTTCCCGCAAAAGCGTCAAATTCAACAGCAGGAGCAACTGTAGCCACCAGTTCTACCTTACCATCCTCACCGTCGCCTTTGTCTCAAGTACAACGACGATCGAGCACAGAAACACCACCACTAATATCACCAAGTTTAATTGAATCAACGTTGAACGAATACAAGTTTCCCTCGAAACGACGCATCATAGCATCCCACTCAAAACAAGAGCTGGCTATGTTGGCGCAACCGAAGGAGAGAGAACAAGAAGAACGACGCCGACAACGACAAGAAGAAGATAAGGCAACGAGGGACCCAGGTTTGAAAGAAAGGTAAGAAAGACGATGGATGGAGGGATTCATTGCACAGAAAAACTTAAATTCATGTGTGATTATTTCTAGTTTGCATGCTCCACAAGTCAAGTTGATAAACGATGAAATCATTCTTGACGAATCTTCTTTGTGGATGGACCAAGGTAAAGGCAGAAGCGCTGCTGGTATAGATCGCATAATGCCAGAGGTTGTTGAAGAAGGCGCGTTTGCAAAGATGCAACGTGGACCTAAAAGTATACGGCATTGGTGGTCATCGCAAGAGACTGAACTTTTCTATGACGTAAGTTCTTGGAGATTGTTGGTGGTGGATGCGAAAAGGTGGGAGGTTAAATGCTGGAGGCTGATACCTCTTGTTTTCTATGTATAAGCTACTGCAAGAAGTCGGTGCGGATTTCGATACTATTAGTCAACGAATGCCTGGCAGGACCAGAGACCAAGTAGCTCGAAAATACAAAGACGAGTACAAGAGATACCCATACAAAATAGACAAACTCCTCACAAAGTGAAAGGTTTCGGTGAAGCATGCCGTTTCATATGATATCCAATCATGTACATATTATAACGGTTCAGGAAACAAATGAACATTTTCCTTTCCAATGTTGCAATAACAGCTCAACTTGGCCAAAAGAAGTATCTTTGATTTGAAACGACACGCTGGGGTGTATGATGGAGGAACATCTAAGCCAGGTTGCTCAATTTGTTGTGGGTAGAGCAAACAATGGAAAGCGGTCAAACTGGAGAAAAACACTCCAGAGCAGACGGTATTCCTTAGGAGCGAATGTTTATAGCGCAAGAGGAAAAACGCCCAAAAGTGTGCCACTAAAAGGAGGTCAGGTTGAATGGGTTGTGCCTCAACACAAAAAAAAAAGGAAGACAGGAGAGTAAAAAATTCGCTCGGTGAAACGAATTTCGCAAGGGAAATAAAAAAGGATAGCTCCCCATTGGGTTTTTTTAGACAAAAATAGCGTAATCGGCGCGACAGCGACAACAGCATAATATTTACATCATAACAAGTTGTTTGCAGAAGAAGAAGGAAAAGAAAAGGCGTCTGCTGCTGCACATGTATCACTGATATCACTGCTACTGCTGCTCGTGCTGGACGTAGAGGAAGAGGACGGTGAGTGTGCTGTTGTTGGTGGTGGTGGCAGCATCGTTTCTACTTGTTGTGATGGTAACGATGATGGTAACGATGCCGTTGCTGTTGCTGGGTGACCAAGCTGTGCACGCATGGCCTCATTCTCTTGTTGTATAGACTGAATATAACTGATGGCCTGGCGCAGAATTTCTGCTCGATGACATTTTTCTGGTTCCGAGAACACGGTCTGTGGCATCGCTTGGGCGAGTTGGTTGATTAGCCCATTCTGTTATGTCATCAAAAAAAGAAAGAAAGAAGGCGCATAAGTAAAATTAACAACAACTACAGCGATTAGCCTTGAAGAAAGAGAAGGATACGTTACCAGCATATCTCTTCTTCGACGTTCAACACGATTGTGGGTTTCTCTTCGTTGCTTCATTCGATCCAGGATGATGTCTTTGTCCAGACATGACTTATTTAGGATGTTTACACCATTGACCACGAGTTTGCCCTGAGTTTTTTCCTGGTTCAGCCTCCGAGCCATCGTGTCTGGGTTGTGTATCTTGAGTCGCTGCTGTAACGGGTAGCTTGAGCGGCGTTCAGTGATTGTGGCTGTCTTTTGTTGATTCATAGCGTCGGTTTTTTTGTGTGGTGGTGGTGGTGGTGATGATGACGATAATTATGTGAAAAACGATCTGGTCTTTCCAAGTGCACGTAGTACGTCAGAAGAAAAAGATAGAGGAGGGTAAGAGGAGAGAGAAGAAAGGAAGAAAAAAAAAAGGAACAGGGATTGGGTGTGGGTGAGCTGGCTGGCTTGCTGGGCTTGCTAGCTGGCTGTAATTCTTGGCAATGTGGTCAAATCTGGGCTTTCCTTTATATATCAGGCCAACAGCAAAATGAGCGCACAGGAAATGCCTCAACCGTCCGTTAACCACCACCACAGGGAGTTTGATTCCAAATTCCGATCGTCCTACGGTGTAGAGCACACAATTTGCGCACAACCGCTTCTTTATTTTGATCTCTCTCTCCCCCACCCCCTCCTCCTTCTTGTCCTTGAGCTAGTCGCAAAAGATAGTAATTACCTCGATCTTCCCTGTGCTACTACTAACTCAGTAATAATAACTACTACAATACCAAGGGCCCTCTCTCTCCTCCTGCTCCTCCAATAACTGGCTACACAAAAGAATAACAAGCAGAAAAAGGTCATCAGATCCGGTGGTCCCCACATATTAGTAGCCTTATTAAGGGTCCTGCTGTATCATTTGTTTCATTCCCTATTGAACCATATTTGTGACAGAAAAACAGCAGAAATGCACAGCCAATTTACCCACGTTTGTTCGTCGTCTTTATTTGATTGATAAGGAGTGGGGAGGGACTCGGTCTGAAACCAACTGAGACATTTTTTTACGTTGGAAATCGCCGCATGTTAGTTTTTCATCAACCATTCGTCGTCATCGCCGTATGATATCAACACACGCACACAAACTTACACGGATTTTTTTATTTGACGTAGTACGAAAAATAGCAATGCCCTGCTTTTTTTTTTTTATTAACTCGATTACACAAGAAAATGCCTCAACACCCAGCAATAGTGCATTTTTCGGAGAGAGAGAGAGAGAGAGGCAGGGCACTTGTGTACTTTGAGAGCAATTAAAAGACAATGAGAGCAGATCCTTTTCGTTTTCATATCGGACTCTCTTTGAGAGGACCTCTTGGTGTGAGATTCATGGTCTTCTTGCCATCGACTTCGCAGCACCGTATACTTTGGATGATGCTTACAAAACGCTTACCCTTACATTTGTTACATCACATGGCAATGTTTTTTCTTCTTTTTGATCGACGCATATTCGGCGAAAAAGAATCCTTCCCAATCAAGACTGCCTGCGTGAGAATTGCCACTAAAGAGGAGAGCACATACATTATTACATCTCCCTCTTTCTCACTCTTTTCAATAAGTCCTGTGCTTTTGACATTGGGCCGGCGTTTTCTTTGTTTATGTGAATTGTACCCCGTCTCTCATTGACTAATAATAGCGCTTCTATAGAAGAGGGAAAAAAATAACGCAAAGATAAGAGATGGAAACAGAAAAAAGTGCCGCATCCACTGCATCAGAGTGGTGTAAATAACGGGTGAGGGCTTTTTTTCTGCAATTTGCTCAATTCAAGTAATCCATCGACACGTGTGATCCCAAAAAAAGGAATTAGCTTTTCCGTATCTGCCGGTCTGTGTGCCACAAGTGGAGATGTTAGACGAACAAGGAAAAGCTGATGATGGCGGCAACAACAACAACAACAACAACAACAACAACAACAGCCACACACTATATGATGTAAACGCACATTTCAAGTAAAACATGGGCTAACTTTAATTTGCTCTGATCCAAGGTCATCCATCATCCGTCTGCTTCCACCTGTCGTTGACATCTATCCAGTCGATTGGGCAACAAGAACAGCTTCTCGGTCAGTTGATGTCTCCTTTTTTGCCCGACATTGTATTATCATTTTACAGTAACATCTCGACACTGTAACACTCGCCCTAGAGCGTCTTCACTAGATATCCTCTTTTGACGCGTTTGAAAGCAACCAAAGCCGCTTTGAGTACAAAGCAGTGCATAGCATGAAGATAGGTCAAAGTGTCACATTACGTTTAATTGACTATAGCCTTTTTCTGTGTTTATTCCTTGAAATAATATAAGTTATCAAGAAATAGTTATTTGTGTGTTGGGTCTTAGTATATTGGTTACGAGAGATAGTGGCGCGTATTGATATCGTAGCGCCTGGTGATTCACAGGTGAGAGCATGACGGGGGCAATACTATGTTACTTATTCAAGATACTTCTTGTGATCTGTGAGTTCTCCAAGTGAAAATGCCTCAAAGAAAACCCGCATCCATTTCACTATTTAGAAACTTCTTTTTGTTGTTTTTTGATATTAAAGGCATAATATAGAGACTGTGGACCTCTTGTGACCGCATGTGGTCCATAGTAAAAGCTACATGGTCTGGCATTATTCTACAATAACACTCGAAGGTGAGCATTGACAGAATATTAGTTGAATGATTTTCTGCACCAGCTATTTTTCTTATTCTCCTTACTTTCACATGAAACAACATAAAATAGCAGCTTTGTTACGTATACCACGAGCTGGATTCTTATATTTGTGTTTTTCTATACCATCTAGGTCCTTCTTAACATGAGATAGACCGACTTCTATGTTGAGGCAACTGGGAATTTATATGTTTCATAATGCCTACAATTTGACCGATATCAGGCAAGGATCGCTCCATCTGTTTTTCAAACGCGCACCCAAGTAATGACTCGCACCCCCTAGGATGCATTAAAGACTTGGGCACGATATCTCGGTTCTACAGCTAAAAGATTAAAGTGGCATTCGTCGCTGCGTAAACTGGGATCGACATCCGAAAGATACAAATTACCGTTTATAGCTACCGTTTGTAGCCTTTCGGACACCTAAAACGACCTTCTTCCAAGGCCCTGTGAGGTCTCAGAAGGTCCCGACGGCAATCTGAGAACTAGGGTGGTATCCACCTGCTGCAAGTCCAGCTGCGTCGTCGTCCATTCTCACCTCGCTCACTGGGAACTTGTATCCTCTTCCTATGACCAGCACCAACGACAACCTCGTTTTCCTATTGTTCTTTCTGTTGGCCATCGGTATAACCAATTGCGTCTCGAAAGTACAGATGGGGATGTATTTTCTGTTTGTCCCTTCTGCTGTTTAACGGATGAGTTCTTGAATGCGCTCATATGTTAACAGGATGCCTTTACTTCTAAAGTCAACCAACAACAAAATTTCATTGAAAGGTACTATTACTGACTTGCATATTAGTTACTGGCCTAATCGCTAGCGATACTTCCTACTTGAATCTAGGATCCACTTACCATGACTCACGAAGCCGCTATTCATTAATGATTTCATCTCTTGTGTATAGCACAGATCATTCAAGGTGAACGGCTACGAGTAAATACTATTTGTATCAACAATTACAGACACTAGCTTCTTTTTCTTTGACGGTCGTTTAGTGCTGAGTGTTAGCGTTCATGTTCTGTTATATAATGAGTAATTACAGACTTGTTCCAATAATTTTTGCTTTATACGGTTTTTCCTTTGGGGTTATTAAAATAGTGATTTTTTAACATAAGGAAAAGAGTGTAATATAAACGTACAGTACCGCACACTACAATTTTTCTTTGTGGCGTTTGTTATGGCATCTAATGATCGGATCTCGGTCGCGGCAGCTTTATAATGACGACGCATACTTTGATTTTTTTACTTTTATACACAAAAGGGAGATGATACACGCAATTATGGGGCGAAAAAATTTTTCTACTCTGTAAAACGGAAAGAGCGAACGAGAGTAATGGGATTACAGTTCAAATTGTAGCTAAAAAGCTGGTTACTTATCCAATTGCGTTTTGAAAAAATTAAAAATCCTTCATACTACTGCTTTATAGGAGCGACCATACTGTTTCATGTGCTTTTTCTCTGTCGCTAGGTCTAAAGTATTTCGGCGTTTCATACTTCTCATGCATCTACCAACCAAGAAAGTGAATAGGGAATCTATATCTTATATCAAAATAAGTCATGAGGTATATATACAGGTATATGACACCGTTTATAATGATTCTCAGATTGTCCTACAGAGAATAATAGCCCTTGTGGCGGCCATATGATCTTTGATTCTCAAAGCAAGGAACTTTTCACGATAACAATTAAGAACAATAAATATACTACAACTCATTTTAATCTCATGTCTTTGCTCTATATACAGTGGTAGTAGCCACTATAAGTTGACATGTTCACTAGACTTGCGTACAGAGATATTGTATACAGTGAATAGGTCGTATACTCACTTAATAGAGTGTTCGAACCCTCTAAGGATATGGAAAGATAGCCACTGGACGATACTTGACTTCCAGCAAAACGACAACGACGACAGAAGACGATGACAACAAGCTCCGCTAACCAACATATAAGTAAGCCAGACATACGAAACGATCAAACGAGTGATTAGGTTAGCGCGTCAAACTGCTATCTGAAACAATTCGAGGTTTTGAGTTCGAAGCCGGTGTTTGGTAGTATCATCTCTACTTTTACACTGAAACTTCCTCTGTTTTTTGTTGCCTCATTTTTTTTCCTCTCTTGAGATATCTTTACTTAATCAATGTATCACACCTTTCTTTCATACATCACTGATGTTGCATTAGTGAATTTTTATCGATAGGGTTGTTGTTTAAATGTGATACCATACCTGATTAAAATTAAATTCATTTTGGGCAATGATGATGACATGTGCTTTTTGATCACTATAGATTTTGAGACGATTATTTTAAATGCAAAAGAAGACCGGCACATTGTTAGCTCAAGCCATCCCTTCTTTCGTATGTATTTTATACAGGAAAACGGTAAAAGATCACCGCTTGTTTTCAATATTCTCTCTCTTTGATTATGGTATCTCATAAAAAGTGATTGACAGCTACTAGCTTTACAAAGTTCGATAAGTTATATAATGACATACTGGCGATGTGCAAGAAAGTAGCAGGCTGGGATAATTTATATTTTTTTTGAGTGATTGCATTCAATGCATCCTTATGTGTTATACTTAGATTTTACTCAAAGTCTTTCTCTTCTCCCCCCTCTTACCACGATAGCTGTAGACACCCTTTAATCAAAACTGTGATATTGGTATAAATTACGGATCAATGTGAGGATTTGTTCTTCCTGTCACCTGCTAAATTCAAAGATTGGTTGACAGAAGGTTGAAGAGCTTCTCAAGATGAGTTTCAGTTTTTAGGTACATTGACTAGTATATTTTTGTTTTTTGGGAAAAAAAACAGCTAATAATTGAAGATCCATAAACATGTCATTGCAGTTGACGAAAGTGCGTGAAATATGATAGGTACACATACATTTTCATTGTTTCGTACTATTCTGCTTACATAGACCTTCGTTTATTGAATTTGTCTTACATCATCTCAATCAAAAATTCTGGTACAATTCTAAGCTCTGAACAAGTACAACCACGTTTCTCTAATTAATGTCGAATATGCGTCTCCTTTAAAAAAGTCCGGCTTTGTTCCTGGTTGACTGGGATGTTATATGTTATGGCTGTAGGCGATAAACCAATGAGCGGTGTCATTCAGATCGAGCTATTTTCATCTGTCAATACTATTTTCGCGTTTCTGCTATTTGTACATTTGTTGCATATAACCAGTCTCGATATTATTACCGTAATTAGCATGTGTGGTTTTGAAAAAGAATTGCTCTATATACCTCTTATGCAGTACTGTATGCAGACGATACTGCAGGACTATGCAGTATTTTGAGATGCTTCTCTTTTTGCCATAGGTATTCACGTGATACTATAATAGCAGACGGGTCTGTTAACAAACGAGAGAAAAGAAGAAACATAATGATTCTATCGGGATAATATACTGACAGCCATGTGCTTTTATAATATCGAGTACAATTCGTTAGATAAATGGAAGCTTAGTGTATCTGAATAGCTACTACATGATTTCACCAGTTCATCACTCTCTATCGCAACGCGCGAGGCACGAGAGAGCCGGATACTTGGACAAGATCCGAATCAAGTCGCGCTCTTCATTTTTTTTGTCTCATACAGTTACTCCTTATATCTGATCTTCACCATTCACGCAAAGAGAAAAAATGAACGCGAAAATCGTGTATAGCTTGTGTGATTTTGCCTCCCTTGTTTTGCGGGAGAAGTAAGTGCCGATGTACACTTGACGCGTATAGGATAGTGTAGTGAAAGAGAAGAGAAAAACACGTACACGTAATTGATCTAAATGATGAAAAAGACGTGATTGTGAATACGAGAACACTCTCTATCATATACCTGCCTATAGCTGGTCATGATTCTGCTGCGTATTAGCTTAGTCTACAGAACAACAAATTATAAAGACAATGAACCACACCGATAGTTCACGCATGCACTTAGAATGACTTTTGACCCCATACATCGTAACAAAAAACAATAAGCCCAAACAGTAAGTTTTTCTTTTCTTTGCAATTTGTTATATATTTGTTAAGCCAGATAGAAAAAAAAAGAGTAAAGAGCTAGGAGCTATATACAGAAGAAGTACTAAAGAGAATGCACAGTAGCATTTGTGTTATGTGTGGAATATAGGAAGAGAGTTTTGGATTTGGAATTGAAAGATGCAAATTACAGATAACGTAAAAGAGGAGAATATGTGTTTGTGTTTGTGGAAGTAGGAGGTTGTTGTGGAAAAGATGTGACGATGGGTTATGGATGCGCTTAACCGCCGAAACCGTAGAGGGTGCGGCCCTGGCGCTTGAGAGCGTAGACGACATCGAGGGAGGTGACGGTCTTTCTCTTGGCGTGTTCAGTGTAGGTGACGGCATCACGGATGACGTTTTCCAAAAAGACCTTCAAGACACCACGGGTTTCTTCGTAGATGAGACCAGAGATACGCTTGACACCACCACGGCGAGCGAGACGACGAATAGCAGGCTTGGTAATACCTTGGATGTTATCACGCAGAATCTTGCGGTGACGCTTGGCACCACCCTTTCCGAGACCTTTACCACCTTTGCCGCGACCAGTCATTGTTGTAGTAGATAAGAGAGAGTTTTGAAAGAAGGAAGAATTGAGGAAAGAAGAAAAAAAAATCACAAGGACGATCCGTGCAGCTGTTTGCTTTTATACATTTTCGGGTTACGCGGGTTTCTCTGTCGGACACTGAAATCAGAAAAAAAAATTCGCGGAACACGTACCGCGAAAAAAAAAAGTGCGTAAAGTAAAAAAAATTAGCGCGTGTGTGTTCCTGCATTATACCAATTGTCTTTACTTCATTTTTTCCTGAAATCAATGATACTTTTGTAAGACATACTATACGGCACTATCATAGTACATGCAATGAGCAGAGCATATCCAAGAGCCTTTTCTAATTTTAAAAAATAATATGTTGTAATGATCCATTACAAGCAACCGTTGCTTATAAACATACCACACGAACCGTTTTTTTTTTACTTTACTGGTTTTTTTTTCAATGCGAGTACACGTCGCGGTAACGCGAGCTAATAGAAAAAATTATTCGCGAACAAAAAAAAGCAAGTGTGCGGAGTCTATGTGTAACAACAACATAAAGAAAAAAAAAATCAATATAAAAGCAGCAGCTGGCAAACCAAATAACTTGTTCCGGAATTCCCCCCTTTATATCACAACCCTTTTTCATCATAAACAATGGCTCGTACCAAGCAAACCGCCCGCAAGTCCACTGGTGGCAAGGCCCCCCGTAAGCAGTTGGCTACCAAGGCCGCCCGCAAGTCTGCTCCCTCCACCGGTGGCGTCAAGAAGCCCCATCGTTACAGACCCGGTACCGTCGCTCTCCGTGAAATCCGTCGTTACCAAAAGTCCACCGAGCTCTTGATCCGCAAGCTCCCCTTCCAGCGTCTTGTCCGTGAAATCGCCCAGGACTTCAAGACCGACTTGCGTTTCCAGTCCTCTGCCATCGGTGCCCTTCAGGAAGCCTCTGAAGCTTACCTCGTCTCCTTGTTCGAAGATACCAACTTGGCTGCCATCCACGCCAAGCGTGTCACCATCCAGCCCAAGGATATCCAGTTGGCTCGTCGTCTCCGTGGTGAGCGTTCGTAAACTCATTCACTCACCTGCTTTTCCATCTTTTACCATCGACTATTTCTGCCCCTGTTTCTCTCACTCTCAGTCTCACACGTAATCCTACCGTACATCTTTTTACCAAATTAACAAATCACCCTTCACAACCACACAATCAACGTATATTCTCTCTGTCATCATTTCTCCTTTTGTCGCATATAAAAATAATATTCGGCGGATTATCTTTCGTAACATCATATTGCCAGAATTGTAAATAAAAACATGGCCGTCGTTGCTTTTGAAAAAAAAACAATACATATAATACGTGTCTTTCATTTCTATTCTTCTTTGGAAGTATTGATTGGTGGGAGCTCCTTTGACAATATCAGTGCTCAAGATGACGTATCTTCAACATGCATGTACTACTTGCTTTGGTTTCTAGCTTTCATAATGTGGAACGTCAGCATGCATGTATGTCCCCGTGCAGAATAAACAGTGCTTGGACAACTTTATGTATGCATGCGCTCACATTGGCAAGTGCATACTTTTGTATTTACACCGCTTATACGTCGGCAGGCAAAAATCAGTACTATATGCTGCTCTAATAATGTAAACATTGATATTACCATGACAGCAGAATAATGTATTATCCTAGCAACAAATCAATGTCAGCAATCCATAGAACCGCCATGATATCGTCATAGCAATCTGGTTCCCATGGCACTTGTAAACATGGTGAGAAATTTGATGTCAAAAAGCAGTTGCGGCACAAATGGAACAGTTGCTACAATAAGTTTTTTTACTATTTCTGAAGTGTGAAGGCGACACGGGTTACAAAGAAAACCAAGCGTGCAGAGTGGAACGCGCAGCGGGGTGGGAGAGAAAACACGCGAAAGTTTTTTTCTATTACTTTTACCACCGCACATGAATTTTTTATTGCCAAGCGCCGCGAACACGCTTTCGCGTTTCAAGGGCGAAAAAAAAAGCGTGGTAGAGTAAAAGGGAGAGAAGTTTTGATACCGAAACGCCGAAAAAGAAAGGGAGTGTGTGCCGCGTGCGGCAAGATCGAGTTAATTGAGTTTCACAAAGATGATGCGCTGTGCAACACCAAAAAACAACACCCTACTGAACATTCTGGATCGACGGAGTCAACTGACTCGTCATAAAACAAGGTTATACACACAGGATGGAGTCTTATGTTCTGACAGATCGAATATGCTTATGCTCGCAGGCACCTTCACGAGACTCTACAGCGGCAGCGGCAAGTGGCGCTGTTGGAGAGCATGAACACCGTCATTTCCAGATACCACAGATTGGTAGGCCTATATTCGGACATGTGTAGACTGTTATGATAGATTTGCTGTATAATAGAGAGAGACATCATTTCGACTGTGCTCAATTATAGTCAGAGGCATTGTAATACAGCTAAATACATAGATAATGCTATTTACCACACTAGATTGTTTTTTTTCCAAATGAGAATGAGGCGTTTTTTATTATTAAGAGATGGTTTGGTTTGGTATATATACAAATCAAAGGTTACAGGCTCAAGCCCGATAAAGGGAAAAAAAGAGGTGAGGTTTGGGCGATCTGATTGTTGGTTGTTGATTGATTGATTGGAAAAAAAGACCAAATTCTTGATTTTTTTGCGGATGTTTTGTACATATGGAGGAACAAATTGTTGTTGTAATAAGAAAATGACGACGATAGAAAAATGGATGACAAGAGGTAACAGAGAAAGAAAATAAACGACAAAGACATTTAAAGTTCCTGGGAAGCACCGGCCTTCTTGGACTTGGTGGGCAACAAGGAAGCGTGGATGTTGGGCAAGACACCACCTTGGGCAATGGTGACGTGGCCGAGCAACTTGTTCAATTCTTCATCGTTACGGATGGCCAACTGCAAGTGACGGGGGATGATACGGGACTTCTTGTTGTCGCGGGCAGCGTTACCAGCCAACTCGAGGATTTCGGCAGTCAAGTATTCGAGGACGGCAGCCAAGTAGACGGGGGCACCAGCACCGACACGCTGGGCATAGTTGCCACGGCGCAAGAGACGGTGGATACGGCCAACGGGGAATTGAAGACCGGCCTTGGCGGAACGGGTTTGCGACTTGGTGCCAGCAGCGGATTTGCCTCCAGATTTGCCTCCAGACATGATGATGAGATATGAGAGTGGTTGAGAGAACTTGTAAAAAAAAAAGACGGTGGGAGAACTTTTTGTAGTGGGCCTACTCTGCCTGTCCTTTTATATTGCCAGAAACCGAGAAAATTTGGGATTCCGCGATTGGAAGCCCTTTAATTTTTTTTTCTTTGCACTTGTCGCAACGCGTGAGACCCCATGGTATTTTTTACTTTTTTCAAAAAAAATATTTTTATTACGTAAATCAGCTCTCAACGTGCTGATTCGGCGTGATTTCGTGTTTGTTTCGTGTTTTCACGCCTTGTTGTTGCTGTTTTGCTATAGGCCCATCACAAACCGTTGGCCTTGTCGACTGAAGAGTTTCAAAGTGCGACGCGTCATTCCACGCGCGTGTCCTAGTTTCTTTTTTCGCAAAAAGAAAAAAAAAAAACTCTCTCGCAGGGAGGGAAGCGGAAGTTTAAACACGAATATAAAAAGGAGCCCAGCGTAAAAGGCTGACCGTTTGTACCCCCATATTTTCTTTTCTTCGTTCATAACACAACAACTTTTTTCTTAAAAATGGCTCCCAAGACTGACAAGCCCGCTGCCGGCAAGGCCCCTGCCAAGACCACCGAAAAGAAGGTCAAGGGTGGTGACAAGAAGCGCAAGGTCTCCCGCAAGGAAACCTACTCGTCCTACATTTACCGTGTCTTGAAGCAGGTCCACCCCGACACTGGTATTTCCAACAAGGCCATGTCCATTCTCAACTCGTTCGTCAATGACATTTTCGAGCGTATTGCCTCCGAGGCCTCCAAGTTGGCTGCTTACAACAAGCGCTCGACCATCTCGTCGCGTGAGATCCAGACTGCCGTTCGCTTGATCTTGCCTGGTGAATTGGCCAAGCACGCCGTCTCCGAAGGCACCAAGGCCGTCACCAAGTACACCAGCTCCAAATAAATTAGCTCCATCCTTATATTTGCATGCCACACACATCCTTGCCGTCTCTTCCGTATCCTGCTCTCTCCTCTTATAACTCACACATATCAATACGAAAACCCTTTTCTTCTTCTTCCATCTTATTAAAAAAAGGCCTATTTCACTCTGTCACACTTCCACACGAACAACAAACACAAATATATCGCATAATGCCGCCCTCTTCTTTTTTTTTTTACCACGCACTCTAGCTTGTACAGAATTCTTTTTTTTTCTTTCATTGAAATAAACTACATGTAAAAAGAAACCATCAGCTCTTTCCCTCTTTTTGAACATAAATGACGTGTGTGTTTGTGTGTGTGTATTGTAGAAAAGCAGAACAGGAAACAATAGTATGCATATTAGACAAGATGGTTTTTTTATGGTACACTACGAAGATCGAATGCAAATATATGTGTTGTGTATAGAAGCGTGGTCTTTTTTTTTTATCCAGGGGGCAGCATCGTGGCATCCACGGCCTCCGTCTCCTCATACGAATGCTCTGTCTGTGCCTCATACACGTCATGCACAGGGGATCGTGGCATTGCCATCACACCTGTTTTGAATATAAGAATACACAGTCAATCAATCATGACACGCGAACCCAATTCCAAGATCAATTGAAAAACCTACCGGTTCTTGAGGCTTCCAAGACGCCAAATGGCTTGCACAGCTTCATGAACGATGTGACACGGCTTGGCTTGGCCGACATTTCAATCACAACAGAGTCAGACGAGACATCCACAACCTTGCCATCAAACAAGCGCGTCAACTCGGTCAATGCACGCAAATGGGAGAACGTCTCACGCAATGCTTCCGAGGGCGATGCATCGGGCGACTACATACAATAATCAGATCAATAAGCCATTCTCTCTCTCTCTCTCTCTGAATTGTCCGACATCCAAGATATGCTTACCCCACTATAGCGAGTCAAATTCTCATCCTCAAACTCTGCCTCCTCATCAAACTTGGCAGTGGGTAACTGTTCGTGCAAATGCTCTGGCCCCAAGATCGACACCTTGATCAACAGCAATTCACGCTCAATCAACTTGGTCTTTGTGTAATCCAAGACAGCCCAGACCGGCACCAAATCCTCCAGCTGACGTCTGGCCTGTTCGATCTGGACGTTGCGACCATTAAAGACAATGGTCATACGCGACAAGTCACGGACCTCGGTATTGGCAACGACCAACGATTCAATGTTGAAGCCACGGGCTGCCAAGATACCCGAGACACGGCTCAATACACCAGGTTCGTTTTGGACTAGGCAGTTGAGAATATGGCGGGTTTCAGGTGCTCGGCTTGGGGCTGGCGTATTGTACAAAATATTCGACACGGCTTGTTCGACGGAAGGGCCCGGCACAGCAGGAACAGGTCCGAATCGTCGTTGGCGTAAGTGTTTCTTGAATGATAACGCTGAGGTCGCCGAACTTGGTTCTGACGAAAGGAATCGGCGAGAAGACAGGCGCCAGGCCGTTGTAGTAGTTGGCTGTCAATGGCGTTATGCCCAAATTGCAAAATTCAGTGTTAGCAATTGATCAGCGTTTGGATCGCATGGCGTGCGTCATGTGTGTATATATATAGAGAATGCTTACAAGTCTTGCAGCTCCCAACAATGCTGTGCGCAACATATTTGATCGGGTGCAAAGGGCAAATACTGTTTTTTTTTTCTTTCGAACAGTTGTATTATAGACACCACACACTCCGCTGTCGTTGGTAGTTGTCAAGGTGCGTCACTTTGACGCAAGGTGATTGGTGCCAGCTCATACGGATGCATCGGTTACCATATCTCTGCCCTCGGCTTAAGGTTCCTCCTCTCTCACTCACTCACACACACTCTCTCTATTCATTCATCTACACTACCTCTTTCCCATTTTGTAAGATTGTGAGATAGTATTCACAAACCAAACAAGTTTCTTCATGATATCATACATGTGTACCCTCAATTTTGTTTTAGGGGCCTGTCACATGATTTTCCATCGGCAACAACATTAACAGCCGCAAAGTCAGTCTTTATTAGAGGCTTCTTTTACGTCCATATCACTTATGCATATACTCAATATAATACACAATTAGCATCTCTACAAAAATAAGACATCTGTTGTCTTCTAAAAAGCTTGATGCAAACAAATTTAGCTTCTGCTGGTCCGTGAACCGATTCAGTCCCGGTTGCACACGGAACTGGAAATATACCTTGTTTACCAGCTACATTCTACCTGTGGTATGAACAAGTGACTACCATCGCAAGTGACGTTCTCAATTAGATACAGTATTTGATAAACAGTTTTATAACTCTTTGATTAACTGATAATCGGGGTCCATAAGCTTTTATTGTTCGTGCGTAAAAGAGTGTAGAAAAGAAATGCCATAGTTCTATATCTATTTATTCATGTCTTGGTAACTTTTTTTGATATCTTTTCGCCACAAGTCGTTTATTAACTACTGATGCTGCCAGTTAGAGAGCCTTTTGTTTCCAGTAATGATATCGGTCTGTGTGCTCTTAACCATCGATAATTACTGAAAGGCGCAAAGGGTTACATATCAACTTGTAACTTACTGCAAAAAATACGGTTTGTGGTGGCTCTCAGGCTGATTGGTGTGTGTTTTTGATTGCTGCTGTACTGTCAAAATCCCTTTGTCTACGCCCACCAAACGATCCCCTATGCGTAACTGGTTGACTGGCTTATATGATCAATCAAACAGCATCTTAGTGACGGATTGGATAGGCGAAATAGCGGTAATGAGTGAGCAAGAGCGATACTTCGAGCGCGAGCCTAACGTCGCGTCTTCATGATGACTAATTTGAGTCGACTGTGTGCGGCGTGTCGAGCGTAGCTGCATGCTATATGCCGACATTGGATCATTTCTTGTATTGTTGACGCTGCTTTGGGCTCGTTTCTAGTATATAGAACCGCAAAATCAATTGGCTGTACAAAGATACTCTACTTGGTTACGTAATTTTCTGCTTACGATCATGTGCTTACCTTTGGAGACAAAGGCCGATCCATTCATTCTTCATTGCTTATCATGTCAGTCGTGTTATTCTGTCGACTCTTTCTAATCTAAGCAGAAAATCGTTTGGTATTATTGCTTGAACTGAAAAAAAAAGGATCTAAACGTGTAGACTCAAGCTAAAAAACTATCCGCGAGTGATGTGATGCTTGTTCCCGCTCATCAAGGCAATATGTTCATAAAGACTCTGTTTTTATGTGGCTAAATAATAACTCCAAATCGCTCACACCATCATTGAATTATCCACAAAACTAGCGATGGCTTGCAGATAATGTCAAATAAGCATGAACTCTTCGAGAAAACAAACTCTTCTTTTGGCATATTATGTCAAAGGATGGCATATATTATGATGAGTTGCTGTTATAAGAACATCAAGGAGCCCTAATAGCTACGGCAACAACTGCTACATCAAAATGGCTTGGGAGAAATGCTCTGCTGCCTTTGAATTTCTTGAACAGATTTGGCAATGACCACAAAAAAAATAGAGGGCCCTTTTTCAGCCGACGCCAAAGACAACAACATATAACCTTTACACACAATGGCTAGCAAACGACTGTTTTCAGAGAAAATCTTGGCACGCTTATCCAAATCACTGACAGAGGCTGATGTCAAGCCTCAATTTGTATTCAACGAAGCCAAACAAAAGGGATTCTGGCGACCTCCTCAGGTCAGCCTGCGTGTCCAAAATGATTTGCGCAAGGCATGCATTCAGCAAGGTGTCGATCCACTTTCCATTGGCTTACCCTCTGTACAACCACGAAAACCTCTTCGAACGAAACCAAACAAACTTGAGAAACACGAACGTACACGTTCAGAACGTCAGGAAAACATTCGCAAAAATCTCGACAAAATGCCACAAACCATTCAAGCATGGAAGGAGGTAAAAAGAATAAAATTATCTTTTTGTGTGTATTCCACCCAGACTTTTACATATAACTAATATGTGGGGGGTTTTTTTTTCATTCAGGACAAACTCAAGGAAGCTGCGAAACAAAAGACATCAGTGCCATTCTAATAACAAAACCCCCATCGCATACATATAAACCATGTATAACTTTGTATAGAGATCCAACAAATAATAAACAAAGAGCCAATTCCTTTATGTATACATGACGTTGTTTTCTCTTATGGAGGCACAGCAGCAACACTGGTTCTACTGGCAAACACCAATATCCATTTCATATTCGTCAACATGTACTTTAGTGCTTTCGTCCACAGTTCGTCTTGGTTGAACTGGACTCGTATTGATACATCGCCAATTTTGTCCTTGTGGATCCGGTATGGGAACCGCAAGCTCCTGTCCCGTTCTTCTGCGAAATCAGTCAGTTGTTGAAGACAGTTTAGAATGGCAACCATGGCATGGTCCAGTCTGCGGTTGAGGAACATCCGATTTAATCCAAATTCATTCGATCCATATCTAATCGAAAGGATTGTAGATTAGCGGTAAGTCCCACATATTACCATGAGAGAAAGAGAGAGAGAACAACACTTACAATTCATAAGATAAAACTGTGTCACCGTCCACCTTTTCTACTCGCGAAAAGGATCCCATAGGTACCAGTCGATATCTACCATGACACAAAAAGAAAAAAGGCGATATCCTAATCAGTAAAATTAAATACCTTGGAATAAATTGTGTCAAAAGCCGGCGTACGTGTGAAATTGAAACTTGAGCTTATTTGCCACGGTATACAACAGCAACAGAGTTTGACCCCAGGCAGCATTAATTTCACTCCATTCAACCTGCCAAATAAATTCGCAAGTTTAGCATAATAGCTCTAATATAAACACACAAGCACCTGCTATAAACATGTAATGAGAAACGTACTGGCTGTGAGCTCAAGCGACCAAGCCGGAACCCATTAATCGTACCGAACGGGCCTTCTTGTGAAATACAGAACGCATCGTTATACACGACCGTCTTTTGCAACCGTTCAAACTGTTTGACATCATGATCGTATTTGAGATTGATGGACGCACGCTCGCTTTGGAAATTTTCCAGCTTGAGCTCATAATCGTTATACTGTTCCCAGAACTTCTGCTCGCGTTCCTCCAACGCCTTCATTTCCACCTCCAACTCTTCCATCTCCTTGTTGACTGCCTCATGCTCTTCTCTTGCTTTGGTCAGATCTGAAAGTGCTTCGTCTTCAGCCAATTTGAGCTCTTTGACTTGCTGTTCCAAGTCTTTTAGCTCGTCGTCTGTGATCCGGCCCTCTTTGACCTTCTCCAGATATTCAATGTAACAGTCGCGTTCGAGTCCCACATCCTCAAGTTGTTTTTCCAGACTTTCTAATAACATGTCGGTACATTCTTGACACATTGGATGGTCGACGCTGGATCGGGATGACATGACGTTAAACAGCCGACTGGCGACGCGAAGTCGGTGAGATAAGCTATTGTTGCGTGATCCATTATTATCGTCAGCTGCCGCTGCTGCTGATGTACTAGAACTACTTGGACTTCTGACATGTTGCAGGTGCTGTTGTTGATGCTGCTGATGGTGCTGTTGTGACGCTGGAGAAGAGGAAGAGGATGTCCCAACCCCTACCGCAGCTGTTGTTGGAGACGAAGAAGTAGTTGCAGAAGCAGGCGTCTGTCCGCCCAGCTGTGAACGTGTCAACACCACAAACGATTCCGAAGGTAAAGGAAAACTATCTCGTTGTTGTTGCTTTTTGTGTGCAGGTGAATTTACATTGCCCTTGATGCCAACAAGTCGTCGACTCACAGGCTCAACTGTATCGCTATATCGTGCTTTGCTTTGTCGTAAATGTTGTTGGTATTGCTCTTCAGCTGAAAGCGGAGCTATGTATGTAGATTCCATATATACACACACCACGCACAACTATGCGTTAAAAGGAAAATGTCCCAACTTTTCGAGCTGCTGCGGACAAAGGAGTATATAATGCATTACCTACAAGTAGCTCAGTCGCAGCTGTGTCGAGATCGGTCAGGGTATCATCAATGCGTAGTGGTTGTTTGCATCGTTGACAATTGAACGCCATGGTGTTAAAGGGTATATATTATATCACGAGAAAAGAGACGCTGGTTCCCTATTTCCCCGCTGCCAGCAGTATTTGCATTTTTGTAGTAGTTTACCCGATTTGGACTAACCAGACGCAGCCGTACTTCTGACGCACTTCTATCCACATGTTAAAATATACTGTTCTGTTGTAGTATCCCAATGCACCGATTATCCTGGCCTGCTCACTTGTAGTATATAAGCTACGGCTGTCACTCTCCCTTGCTGTCAACTATTGTAGGAATTACATCGTGAGCAATAGAGGGTTTCTTGTTTGACTCCACCTTATGCGTCAACTCTTTGGTGGAAGCGCATGGTGGTGATGCTATTAATGATAAATGTGTTTGCGAATAGCTTCACCGAGCTTAGTACGATAAATAGGCTATAGGCTATCGCCTAACGAAGAGGGGTGTTAGTAGTGACAAAGAATTCCTTTTGGAAGATTCGCAAATGCTTATATCGATCCGTATGTAATAGCTTCGGCTACTATATGAGCGCACGCTAGGTGCGCTGGACTTTGCTGCCCGTCACACTTTCTTCTTACCTTAGAACATCTGCTTTTTGATGATAAACGACAATGTGTATCATCCGCAACAACCAAATGTGCCCATGCTCCAAGAAGAGCCCTATCTGTTAAAGAGATGGATAGCTATCTGGAGAAAAGGAAATCTGCACTTATCACATGATGAGTAAGAAGTGAGCACTCTGTCATATCTACAGTCATATACCAGTAGAGTCACTATGCTCAGCAAGCAGTAAACTAGCTTGTACTTGATCCATATGAATAGCTTCTTGACCTAAAAGTGTCGCTCTGCTTTTTTCATGCCTTTGTCAAGGAACTGAGGTGACACAAAAAATTGGTGAAAGCTGAATTTTGTGGCTTTGATTTGGGGAGCCACCCAAAAATGTTGGAAACAACAGTTTTTTTCATCCCGCCTTATACTCTCCCTCAACCCTTCATATTTCATTCACGCCATGGTAAGCGTTCTCGTCTTTGCATGTTCTTTTATTACAAGTTCCTTTTCATTGCCACGGTTTACTGATAAAGTTCCCACTTTGCTTTCACAATTAGGCAACCCACGTGTTGTTTGAATCAGCTTCCGGCTACGCCTTATTCGAGCGAGTTCAGTCTGAAGAGATTGGCGCCAAGTTGGAACAGGTCCAAAAGAACGTTACCGATCTTGCCAAATTCGGCCAAACTGTCAAGCTCAAGTCTTTCTCACCTTTCAAGAGCGCTGCTGATGCTTTGGAGAATGCCAACGATGTCTCTGAAGGTAAAAATATACTGATTGAATATATGCATTTGGGCAATCTTAAATCTGTGTACTTGTCAAACAGGCTTTTTTCAGATATCTGACATATTTAACTTTAGGTATCGTCAACGATTCGTTGAAGGCATTCCTCGAATTGAACTTGCCCAAGCCTGGCAAGAAATCCAACGTTCAATTGGGTGTCTCTGAAAAGAACTTGGCCGGTGCCATCAAGGGTGAATGTGGATTCGATTGCACAACTGACGAAGTCGTTCAAGAATTGGTGCGCGGTATCCGTCTTTGGTCGGACAAGTTGTTGGCACAACTGAAGGAAGGTGACCTCGAAAAGGCTCAGCTCGGTTTGGGCCACAGCTACTCGCGTGCCAAGGTCAAGTTCAACGTCAACCGTTCCGATAACATGATCATCCAAGCCATTGCCCTTTTGGATCAGCTTGACAAGGACGTCAACACGTTTGCCATGCGTGTCAAGGAATGGTACTCGTGGCATTTCCCCGAACTTGTCAAGATTGTCAGCGACAACTACAAATACGCCAAACTCGTCAAAGTCATCAAGAACAAGTCGGACATTAAGGACGAGCATTTGGAACCCATTGGCGAGGTTGTCGATGAGGACGAAAGCATCGCTCAGCAGATTGTGGATGCCGCACGCGCTTCCATGGGTACTGATATTTCGCCCGTCGATATGATCAACGTGTTGAACTTTGCCGACCGTGTCATCAGCTTGGCTGACTACCGCAAGAAGCTTCACGAATACTTGATCTCCAAGATGAGCCACGTTGCTCCCAACTTGGCTGCTTTGATCGGCGAGGTTGTTGGTGCTCGCTTGATCTCCCACGCCGGTTCGCTCACAAACTTGTCGAAATACCCTGCGTCTACTCTCCAGATTCTCGGTGCCGAAAAGGCCCTTTTCCGTGCTTTGAAGACCAAGGGCAACACCCCCAAGTACGGTCTCATCTACAACTCTTCCTTCATTGGTCGTGCCGGTGCCAAGAACAAGGGCCGCATGTCTCGCTACCTCGCCAACAAATGCACCATTGCATCCCGCATCGATTGCTTTACAGAACTTCCCTCTGACAAGTTTGGTCAAGCACTTCGACAACAGGTTGAAGAGCGCTTGGCATTCTTTGACTCGGGTGCTACGCCTGAAAAGAACGTTGATGTCATGAAGCGCGTCATTGATACGCTCGACGATGAAGAGATTGCTCTGCCAGAGGATAAGGAGGAGGCACCCGTCAAGACTGCTGGTGTCAAGCGTGCTGCAGACGAGTCAGTAGATGCCGCCGAAGAGCCCCAGGAGAAGAAGCCAAAGAAGGAGAAGAAGGAAAAGAAGGACAAGTCCGAGAAGAAGAAGGAAAAGAAGGAGAAAAAGGAAAAGAAGAAGAAGAGCAAGGACTAAACAGCTAAAGAACGAAACACTCTCTTGTCTCTTTTCCGTTGTCAGTGTCTTTCTCTCCCTCTCTTAAAGTAACTAACTCTCTCTCTCTCTCTCTCTCTATCTCAAACTCCTTCACGACTTGCAAAAGCCTATTATAATCTTCTTCTTGTCTTCTTTTTTTGCGCATTTTTTATGAAGTTTTATCTCTCTTTTTTTCTTTTCTCGCTTTATATTTTTCTCTGCATTGCATCCCACATACGCACTCACTCTCTTGTATACAAATTAAACGTTTTTCCTTTCTGATGTTGTACTTGTTTCGTGTTAGCTTTGTTGGCGATGTGCTTCATGGCTTGTATGCTTGCTGGTCTTTTGTCATCTGTCACCACATCAAGCACCACCAACAACACTGCTGCTGCATTATTGTTTACAGCCTTTCGCTTTGCATGTGAAATAATGACTTGGAATAATCTTATGTGACACAAACAATGCAGCACCGTTCATCGCCTACCTGATATCATGCATAAGCCACACAACCACTGCAGTACGCCTCCGGTTTGCAAAGCAGTACAATAAGTTCCAGAAGAACACCTTACGACATAAACCCGCGTGGTAAGGGAGATCGTTGCTTCTTCATGGCAGCTAGCAGTCGATATTCTCTGAGAGTAAGTGCTGTCCATTCTCCCGCTTTCCAGGCCAGAAATTTCAAGTTGGACCATGCCTTCTACTGTGTTCCTTTATTCGCTTAATTAAGCATAAGATCTAGTGTGCGTGTCACGTGTCGTCATATGTCAAGCTGGTAGCAGCATGCGTTGTGGAGGCTCGTCCTGTCTGACAATATTTCTAGTAGTAGAACGGTTATACTTCGATCGTCGCTACGTCAAAAGTTGATATGTAAGTAAGACATACACATCGTTACGATAACACTTTGTTGTGCGTCTTGGCATAGTACAAATCAAAGCTGATGTTTATCATTAGTGAGTCATCAACATCCGGTATGCTTTGCGGTGCCGCACACCATGAAACAATCGAGGATCTTCCTGTACCTAAATAAGACGGGCGTAACTATGATTGATGTGCAAGCTCATTTACTGGAGGAGAGGCGCTTAAAGATTCAATGAGTGATACGATGCATCGTGAGCCACCGATGTGTCACAAGGAGCGTATGTGTTTGTGTGTGTGGTGTGTGTGGTTTTCCAGATTTTGTCATACTTTTATTGGAATACCCAAGGATAAGAAGAAAGCTGTCAACGACATGATGATTTGTGTATGCAGGCCCGATTATCGTCATAGTAAACGCTTACTATGTAGCAACGACGTAGACTATATTAGACTTTTATCATTCAGCGCACTGTGGCGAAATCCAAAGTACAAGGCTGCATACATAACATCGAACTATATTCATATGGAAGCAATGAAATAACTGCTTCTTTTTTTTTGTTGTGCTGTTTTTCACTGCGCCATAAGATTTTCATGTGGATTAACCCGAAAAACAGTGCCAGTTTTTGGGCGCAGCATGCAGAAGATAGTGTGCTTTTTAGCATAGTACCTGGGTGGGTACTCTTGGAAGGTCATCAAGGGATGGTAAAAGGAGAGACAAGATGAGTTGAATGAGATCGATCACGAGATTATTTCTCTTTGTGTGTTGGCCATGCCACGCAGCTTTATTTAGTTTCAAGTTTTTTCTTATTTTTGCCGAGAATCCCTTTTCTTTTCTTGTTTGCATATACACAGAGCACTCTCTTTCTCTTTCTCTTTTTTTCTCTTTCTTTCCAAAGCAACCCCTCTTTCTTCCTCTTTCTCTGTTTCATACATGGCATAATGGAACGGTTTCTCAACCCTGTTAAACAGACCTACGAATCTGCGAGTCTTTCCACCCTCATTTTCCTTGAGCTCTTTTTATTCGCCGTATGTTTACACTGGTGTTTACCGCAGCGCCACCGCCAAGCCCGAACGATCAAGCTCGCTACGTCTACTGACCACGTTTGGACCATCTTGTTGGACATTCATCGATACCCACTATGGCGCTCACACGTTGTCAGTGTCCAGCCTCTACTCGGCAGCCAACACTTGGAGCACGTAGCCCGAACACGACAGCATTTGGAACACAAACAGCAAAACTATCATCAAGAACAAACAAATCCAGCTTTATTTTACAAGACACGCGTTCGTGCCATCGACATGAACCGGGTCAACGATAGCACCTTGATTCGTATTGATCGAGCCACGCGTATTTCGTCATGTACTCCTCCTCCTTCTCCGCCTCCTGAAGAGGCTTGTACGAATATCAGCGATGGAAAACAAGTACCGACACTTCAGCAACAACAACAGCAACAACTGAAATTTCCAAAATCATCCTTTGAACGTGAATGGGAAATCCATGTGCGTCCGTCCGATGATGGTTATACGCTGTTGACGCTGGTCGAAACGGTTCGAAGTGAAGGATATTTGGCTCGATGGCTGGGACCGATCTTTGGTGGATTCCATCGCGTGTCGCAGCGGTTCTTGTTGGATTTGGTACGGGAAGTGGATCGGCAGCAGAAACAGCGAGTGCTCCATAATCAAACCCTTTGCGAATCACCCGTATCATTACAACATAGTCATCAGAAACGGCATGTCTTGAATGAAGTGTACAGTACTGTAACAGTATAGCAATAACAATATCACCTATCAGCATCATCATCATTGTCAGCAACAACTGCTCTAAATACCATTACCCCACTCTTCTTCCTTCAATACTAACATATCCTCATACCCAAGTCTCTCATCATTGGTCCACATCCATTCAAGCAAACAAGATATACATATTACACATAATATCAGAAATGCAGGAAATAAGTAAATTATCATGTATTCAAAATGTGTACATCATCATCCTGCACAAACAACTATTTACATAAAAAGAGGCTAGTGTCATAGTGTCATTTTTGTTCTTTTTCAAAGTGACCATATTGCGTTGCGTTAAAGTGGGTGTTCGTAAGCGTGAAGCTGAGGGTATTGTGCCCAGTATTAATGACAAGATTGTTATCATGGTAACGGTTGTTATTGTTGTTGCTATGGCGACTATTGCTTCTGTTGTTAGTGGTAACTCTTGACGAGGTTGACGGCGACGACGACGACAGCCCGACGAGTGCGATGGCATCAGCCAAATCACTGGTAGCTTTATGAATAGCATTTCTTGCATGGATCCTGGTCGTCTTTATTGGTATACGGGAAGACTGATGCTTATGAACATCCAGTCGTTGTTTGCGTCGCTGCAGCAAATTCTTGCGATGCTTGTCAATCCCATGACATTGGCTGTTTGGATTCTTGCGCAATTTGTTAAGTTCCGTCTTGTCGAGCGTCGAAGAATGTGGCAGCGAAGGCGGCGAGCGCCAGGTATTGAAAGAGGATGTGTTGTGATTGTTTATGCGGTTATCATTTTTATTGTCCATAATCTTCCATATTCACAAGGAAAGCAGATGCAACAAAAAGTATATTTCAGGAAAGGTAGCAGAGGGGTTGTGAATTTTCTAGCGTCGGTTTATCAATGTCGAAAGCGTGATAAAACAAAATCATGCAGTGCGCGGTTTTTTCTTTTATAACCTGTGTCTATATCCAATGGCCTCCATTGCTGAACGCGGTCTTGCACAATTAAAAGCGCTATATGCAAGTGAAGCAGCTCAACTAAACCAAGAGGCTGTTCGAAAGCTTTCAAACAAATTGGGTTTAAGGTGAATATATTCCAATTGTTTTGTTTCTCATTGTTTGATGCGTAACAGCAACACGCAAAGATCTTGCGTCAGTATGACGCTTATATATTTTTCCTGTGTACAGTGCACAAGACATTACCAAGCTCGACGTTGACGCCATTGGTACATTCAACCCCGTCATTTCTTCTTTTCACTTGTTCGCTTCGTTTCTAACACGTAAAAAATAAAATATAGTAAACGCTGCCAATAATTCGCTTCTTGGAGGTGGAGGAGGTTCGTGCTTTTTATATAGGATTTTTAACTATAAAAGTTAATTATACTAACTGCAAAAAAAAACTGACACGGATTGCTTAGTGGACGGTGCCATACATGCGTAAGTAAAACTTATGTATTCTTTTACTGAAGTACTCCTGGTTATCAAGTTTTCATTCTAAGCATAATAGCCATGAAAATACAGCGCTGCAGGTCCCCAGCTTGTGGAAGAATGCAGACCCTTGGGTGGTTGTAAAGACGGGGTAAAAAATAACTTTTCACTGAATAACAGTATTAGCATCGTACGCTACATTTTGACAACAATTTGTTTTGCACATGATTTGTTATCGTGTCTAGGACGCCAAGATTACCAAGGGTTACAAACTTCCTGCTAAACGTAATGTAGACGATGCAGTAAAGGATGAAAGAGTACAAAGGAAGGGCCGGGGTATACTGATGTTATATTGTAAAAACATAGACGTGATTCATACCGTGGGTCCGCAATCAGAAAAGAAGAATGTGCTAATTAGCTGCTACCAGCGCTGCTTAGAAGTGCTGGTTGATAATGGGTTGCGATCTATCGCATTTCCATGCGTCGCTACTGGCGTGTATGGATACGATAAGGAGCGAGGTGCCAATGTAGCACTTGGAACCGTACGCCGTTTCCTTGAGAAAAACCCTGAGAAGGTACTATTTTTCTTTCTTTGTGTATACAAAAAAAAAAAAGATAGTGTAGCTGATAACGGTTGTTCATTGATTGAAAACAGATAGACAAGGTGATCTTTTGTTTGTTTAATGCAAAAGACAAAAAAATTTACCAAGGTGTGTGCACATATGGATGGAATATTACGAAACTAGTATCTTTAAGGTGGATATGCTTACTTGGATTTCTTTTGACCACACATAGAATTGCTTCCCGTATACTTCCCAGAATCAGATATCTCCTTTTAGGCGGCTTTAATAATAAAACTCGCGGTAAAATGAGATCACGGACTCCTTATTTTGTTGGATTTGTTATAGTTCTTTTCTTGATACATTGCAAAAATGCTGCCTAATAAGAACAACTGTGCGCATCAGGGTACAAATATATTATCTCAAAGTAGACGAAGGATTATAGCACAGCTATACACAACATAAAAAACAGCCGAGGTGTTATTACTTCGTAGATATAAAAAAATTATAAATATGTATAAAGAATTAGTGATTTGACTACTATTGTTACAACTTGTAAATAAAGCTTCTGTCTTCTTGATCGGTCCATCCTTCAGTAACATCCAGCTTCTTCTCTGGTGGATTGGCAATTCGGCGCTTATTTTCTCGTGCCATGAGGATACGGGCAGCCAGGAAGCAGAAAAATGCAACTGTGTTGCCAACGCAGTAAACAACCATACCTGTAGTATATCTCGGAGCTGATGATGTTTACATTTAGAATATGAGTACTTGTACAATGTTCATATATACATTGTTAGCGATAGTGTCAAAATAAAAGCTCACCTTCATGATCCAACATAACCAGGGGTCCTATGAAGGAACCCAAGGTACTGCATATAACTAGTACGCTATTATAAAAAATCTTCTTCGAATAGCCACTGACATTCGTTCCCACCATCGCGGCATAGAGGGCGCCAGCGCCACCCATGGCCCAGCTCAAGTAGTAACCCAAAAGTTTAACGGAACCATGTGGCACAGCAGCTAAGACGACGACACCAGATAAGCTAATAACGCACATGACCATTCCTGTGTATGCAATTTGTCTTATACGGCGAGCAACAATAGCAGCGCCCAAAATAAAAATAGTTGATGCGACACCGCCAGGAATTTTTAATAAAATCGATTCTGTAGGCTTTATACACATCCTGATCAGCATTTCCCTTTCTTTTTCTGTTTACACGATGGTTGAAACAAAGAAAACAATCATTCTTACAGTAAAATCACCCAGTGTACGAATGAGCTGTGCACTGAAAACCAAGAGACCGCCGTTTTGCATATTGATGCAAATTGCAGCAAGGCCGATGCAATAGAGGCGCGGTTCTTTTAATGCCTCCAAAAAGTGCTTGTAATTAATTTTTCTGCTTCGGATAACTGCATTGTCCTCCGTTCGCTTGTCGACAATGTGGCGCTCTTCTTCGGTAAGCCGTAACATCCATGATCGTGGGTTATCCAATAGGAAAAAGAAACACAAGATGCCGAGCAGTACAGTAATGGCACCAAAAATAATATGGTTCCATCTGTTGTTTCAATAAGAGCATGTTAGAACCGTCAAATCATCTTCTTAACAACACATACATAGTGATTAAATACCACTAAACCAGTCAGTAACTCACCTCCACATCTCAAGACCAAGTCGCTCACCTCCCATTTGAGATATACCCACAGCTACTAAATTACCCAACACAGAACCGACACCCTGGCACATAGTCACAATTCCAAAGTAAAACGTTTGCTCTTCACGACGGTACAGATGCGGAACAATGATATAGAGGCAAGGAAGGCAAGTTGCTTCAAAAAAGCCGAGCAAAAATCGAAGCGCCGCGAGCTGTGCGAATGTTTGTGCCAGTGCCGTGAACAGCATCACCTGGATAGTAAAATAAGCAGAACAGTAGATGAGGGAGAAGAAGAAATATGCAATATTGAAACGAATGAAAACAGTTAGTATATGGGAGTCGCATTTTTTCCAACAATACTTAAAGTGCTATAATGGATACTGTTGAAGAAGAATAAGCACACTAATAGCGTAGTACTTACCGCACCAAAGACTACAATGCAGACACCGAGATATCGCCTGATAGAAAACTTTTGAATAAGGACCTGATTTGGAATCTGCATAATCAAGTAGCCCAAAAAGAAGAGACTACCAAGCCAGCTAAATTGCGATCCAGTTATTCCAGTGTCTTGGTAGATACCAAGAACGGCTGATATAGCCAGCGACGATTTATCAGCAAACTATGTTTGTAAATACGTCAGTGAGATCTTAGTTTCTGCTCTTCATCACATTCAGAAACGCTTTTAAGCTTACCTGCACCATAACGATCCAGGTTACTAATGGCAAAAAGGTATAGCTGATTTTGCGGACTAACTTTTTCTCTGCTGCACTTTGAGCATGTTCGTCTTGAAATCCTTGCTCTGCATTATTCGTTGAATCGCTGTCGGGCGTTTTCAAAGTATCAGCATGAACAACTTCTGCCTTTTCTTCTTCTAACCGGGTGGGTGCCATTATTCAGACGTGAGATTTAAAAAAAGATGGGGTCAGGTAATATCCAGGGAAATAAATTCTGGTGAGCTCGTTATATATACCCTTCCCATGCTATTGTCATTTTGGCCCTCTTTATGTTGATGCCAATTTTATTCAGGTGTACTATGCTTGATCTTCTGTGTCTTCCATGATGGATCAAAAAAAGGAAAAAGGATAATTCTCACAAGTGATCTCACTGTAAATTTGTTCCCGCACTTTTTCAATGGGTAGCTGCTGGACATTTTGGGTTTTTCCTATAAGGGGCGCTTTGCTCGTCTGCTCGAATCATACTTTGTGAAGTACTTGAAAGAAACGCTTTGTGCACGCAGCGCCATTGGTCGATAATGCTCTTTGAAAATTATGTTTAGAGCTTAGTAGATCCCACAACGACCAAACAGTACTCTGGTTTTTCCATGTACTGTAGTGAAGACTCTCTATGTTTTCCATTCAGTTTGGCAGCGTGTATGCGCGCAGAAGAAAGTCGCTGGGGGTTTGCGTGTGTGTGTGTGTGTGTGTGTACGTGTAGCGTCATGCGATGGAGTTAAAGAACGATGGGAAGGTGAAATTTAAACAAAGCGTGAGAAGCAAACAGTAAGTATGTACGGGCTCGTATACGTTCGCCAAATCGAGCATATTTGAAAAGAGAACAGCTGCGGTTTGTTCTCGCTGCTGCTGTTGTATGATGATGGCACGCTGGATACCCAGTGCTAGAGCTAACGAGCAGTCGTGCCGGCGGATCGGATTTATGAAAATTGCCACTGACGAAAAAATTTGACAGATCCATCCCAGTGGATTTCAATGCTTATTCGTTCACCTTGTTAAGGAACTTGAGAGAATATGGCCTTTTGGCTCAGTCACCTCTATCATGTGTACAGTTGTTGAATACTAACGAAAGGAATCCTTTTACTCATCAGGGAAAAAATGATGAGTTTCCTATATGTGCTTTTACTGGCAAAGGAATAAATGTTTTGCTACGGTACCGTGTTTCGGTTTACGAGCTGCATGTAAATTTTTCTTATAAGAGCTACGTACAAGTGTATTTCGCATTGACAGGTAAAAAAATACTGAGTTTATCTGTGCGTATGCTGTAATATAATTGTTTGTAACTAGGCTTTGTATTGTTCGGTTCAGCAAAAGAAATAATTGAGATACATGAGCATATGATAGGCACGATGAGAAAAAATAGAAAAAGCTGACAAATCCCAGGTAAATGCATCAGCAAGTTATCTAATCAAATTGTTAGCTTTTTTGGTAGTACCGAAGCACTTCTTTTTTAGCTCCAGTCACTCAAATCCGGCTCGTCGTAACGGGCATTCTGTCAAAGTATTCAAAATGCAATGTGGATAGGGAGCTTAAAAGAGAATGCTCCTCAAATGTTGTAACTCCCATCACAAAAATTTACTAGAGCTTCGCTTCAGTTAGCATCCTTTAGTACTTATGTACAGATGCTATGATACCTTGTCTAAATAGATGTTTTATTGCTGCAGTTATACTTTTGACATAGAAAGAAAGAAAGCAAGGTGGATGGTGGATGCGTTAGTCAAGAAAATCAACGCGATTCGCTGAATTTACTTGGAGTTGAGCGAGAGATGTACATGGCTCTTTCATACTTATTTTGTCATTTCCTTTTGTTCCCACATTCAGATCTGTGCAAGCTCCAAATATAGCAGGTTGTGTATGGTTACATTTCCGCGGTTGACTTTGTACGGCATGTGCAGCATCATAAGGCGTCTTGCTGGTAATGCCAGAGCCTGTAGCTGTTTTCGCGCACTGGCGTTTTTGCGACCCCACACAATCCGCATATACTGTAGCCATTAAATGAGGAAAACATATTTACTTTGTAAAATGTATGCTACTGTTATCGCGAAATGTTTTTGGTAGTTACAATTTCTCAATATGAAAGGGTAGTAGATAGATATACAGTCTTCCAGCTTCTCATCTCTGGATAGCTGCTGCTGCCAAAGTTTGCGACTAATTAAAAATACATATACACATATAAAATGTGGGTAGATCATTGCTTAGAATAAATTTATAAAGAAATATGACCTAGAAGCAGCGCTATAGCTTGTAAACAAATGTCTTGTCCTCTACATCAGTAAGACCAAGAGTCACATCCGGCTCATGCTCTGGTGGGTTTGCCAGCCGTCTCTTATTTTCTCGTGCCATAATCATGCGGTTGATTAAGAAACAAAATATTGCCAAACCATTGCCGACGCAGTAAACGATCATGCCAGTGATATAACGCGGTTTTTCTCTCTCGAGCATAACCAGTGGACCTATGTCGGTATAATAAAAAAGTACATCAAAAGCTTTATGTGTTCATATTACTCTTGATCCTCTTTGATTCCATTGTAAATGTTGAAACAGAAAAAAAGGCCACAAAAAATATATAATACTTGGGTTTCTGACCTATAAATGAACCAATCGTGCCTGCTGCAACAAGGCAGCTATTGTAAAGGATCTTTTTGGTGTAGCCGCTGACATTCATACCAACGGTGGCTGCTAATAAAGCACTGGCACCGCTCATCCCCCAACTGAGGTAATATCCAAGCAGCTTGACTGAACCGTCTGGTACTGCTGCAAGAATAAGCACACCGGACAGACTAATGACGCACATAAAGACGCCGACGTATGCAACTTGATGTATTTTGTTTGCGATCACGGATGCCAAGATGGTAAGCACAGCAGATGCTACTCCGCCAGGCAACTTCAGCAAAATGCTCTCTGTAGACTAGGAGATTCGTCAAACGCAGTTAGTGGTATGTAAAACAGTTAAGGTAAGATTAATGCTCATAATTCCAATTACCGTAAAGTCACCCAGGGTTTGGATGAACTGAGCACTAAAGATGAGCAAGCCTCCGGTTTGCATGTGAGTTGTAATAACAGCAATGCAGATAAGATACAGCCTTGGCTCTTTGATGGCTTCAATCATTTGAGCGCCTTTGATTTTGTTGGTTCGGACGACAGCATTGTCTTCTGTTCTCAGTGACACAATGTGTTCTTCCTCCTTGGTAAGTCTAAGCAACTTGGATCGCGGACCGTCAACCAAGAAGAAAAACGTGACGATACCGAGTACCACAGTAATAACACCAAAGATGATATGGTTCCATCTGAATAGCGAGAATGTTATATTACTGTTTAATCCACTCATATCCACAGGTATAAGAAAGAAAGCTGTATAGTTTACCTCCACATAATAATCCCTCGACGATTTCCCATATACGAAACACCCAAAGCAATTAAATTTCCAAAAATAGATCCAACTCCTTGGCATGCAATTACGACACCGAAATAAAAAGTTTGTTCCTCACGGCGATATAAATTTGCGACAATCAAGTAGATGCAAGGTAAGCAGCTTGCCTCAAAAACTCCCAACAAAAAACGAAGTGCAGCCAGTTGCGGAAATGTATTACCCTGGGCTGTACAGAGCATGATCTTTAAGGTGTAATATAAACCATCTATTAGCTCACTGTATACTTCTTTAAGTCGTCCTACTTTTACTGTTTGCATGTAAGTAATTGAGCCGTAAGAATGTATACGCACCACTCCCATAAGAAGAAGGCAAACACCAAGATAGCGCCCAATAGGAAGCTTCTGAAGCAAAATTTGGTTTGGAATCTGATAGATGAGGTAGCCCAGAAAAAAGATACTGCCCAGCCAGCTGAATTCAGATCCTGAAATCCCCGTATCCGTATAGATACCAAGGACAGCCGAGATAGCCAGGGCTGTCATGTCCGCAAACTTATTATTCGATGCATGAAGACGTGTAAGGTTTAGCCTATCATCAAGTACGGATTCTGTAGGGTGTCTTTCTTTATACCTGAACCATCACGATCAACGTTACTACAGGCAAAAAAGTGTATCCAATTTTGCGAAGCAGCTTTTTCTCGGCAGGGCTTTTCCTATAAGGTCCCTGAAATCCGCCGCGTTTTTCTGGGTCGGCATCGGCGGAGCCTTGGTCGCCGGATGTCAAGACATTATCGGCATGAACAATGTCCTTTTCCGCAGAGTCTTCCTTATTGCCTTGTTCTTTTCTGTGTTGATTCATTTTCTTTTCTGCTGAGGGTGAGAAGAAAAAGATGAACACCACGACGAAAATCAAAGCAGAGACTCTCACCTTTATAAGGCTCTGCTATGCTGGCGAAAAAGTAGTCCACAAGGTCCAGAGCGGTTCTCCCATGTACCGCTAAACTGTATCATTATTCTCACCGATAGTTTTTCCTTTTGTCGTTATTCCCGCGGCTGTCGTTTTTTCTCTTCATGGCTACACCGCCAACAATTTCTCAGAGAAGCTATGCAGAGCATAATAGCTTTTCGAACCTGTATATTCATTATCTGACATAATCTGCTCTCGCTGCGGCGGTATGCCTCTACTATATTACTGGAATAGAAAACTTGGAATTTGTGCTGATTTAGGCCATATTGCCTGTAAACGTTAAGGTCCATTGACAACGCCGATGTACTTTTTAGAGCAAGGCAGTTTATACAAAGCTTTAGGTCGTGAGAGCTGTCGCTAGGGAAAAAAGAGATGCGTGAAAGAAAAGCAATCGGCACAATCTTTTCCCATAAAAAAGCAATAGAGAAAAATTGGAACGCCAGCTAGTGGAAGAACCTAAAGGCATATTGAAGGCAATGTGTTGTATATCAATGCATATGGTGGTATTAGACAGGAAAGATGCGACATCTGGTATGCGTATGGTGATGGTAGTTAACGACATTACATATGTTTTGATTTCTCTGTTTGTGTTCTGATGAACAAAGCAGATGTAAGAGAGATCGTGTAACCGAATACTAAAATTAACTATCGAGGGGATGGATTCAAATATCAAATCCACAAGGCTCCTTCTGCTTACCGAAGCTACTACGTGCTTTCCAAAGCTGAATAATATGCGCACTCTTGCTGGCTATTTGCAAGTTAGTGGTTCATCATTAAAAATTAAAGAAGAGAGAAGGAATTATAATAATGCCCAGAAGTTTGTTGAGCTTTTCACAGTGATTTGACTATCATTTGTAGAAGCCAAAAAGTATGTTATAACAAAGTCGGTTATTACTACAAGATGGTATCCATGATAGTGATGGTGTGGGTTCATAAGGCTTAGCTAATTGGTTTTCTAGACATTTGCTTTTGTTGCTCAAATAGGGACCCAGTTACATTGTATTTCCGCTTAAAGTTAAGAATACGTTTAGTAAGTATTATAAGATGCATTATGTGCAAGCAGTACAGTAGTAATATGATCAAAATTTGAAAACTGACAATTAACCTTTAAACTCTAGATTGATAGGGTCCTTAGCAGTAAAAGGTTGAATAAGTGGAAAAGATCAATCAGATAACCCAGCGCGGCTTCTTCACACTCCTTCGGTAAAACTAAAAGCCTGTCCTAATAAAGCAATGTCGTCCTGCACTTATGCATGATGATGATACAGCAGTCGTGTAGTGAGAAACTTTGGCACATTCTTATAAAACATACAATTACTACTGGCAGCATCTTCAGAATTATTCCAGGGATAACACACACCGTAGGATGATGAATGTAATAACAACTTCTTTTTATTGTTTATGACCACTCTTGCAAGACATTGAATAAATGAATGTATCTCCCTGACAACAAATGAAATTCATTCATCACAAAATACTTCAAAGAGCACATCTAGCTACTGACGATAAAAGCATGTAAGGCAGTAGTACCTGCTGCCATCGATTCTAGATCGACGGCAAGAAGAGCAGTGGCAGCGTACGTGTGCGCGTCTTATCCTAAATAGGAACATGTTAGCATGATGTCACTCCGACAAGCGTACTCGCAGGTCAGCTGGCCATTGCGTATCGAGGTCTTTTTAATAGCGGTTGTTTCAGCTTCTTTTGTTCCTTCCCATAACCACACTCTTTCCCTGAAATGAAACTCTTTGCGCTATCTGCAATCGTCGCTGCTTTTCTAGCCGTCTCTGACGCCGCAACCACCAAGTAATTATATACCTCTGTTTATTGCTTCATGGAAGTGGGCTGCCGTGGATTGTAGCTTGTTCTGCTATCCTGTACTATTTTATCTCCCGAGTGGCAGTGGTAGTCTTGGCGCTCCCACAAAAAAACTACACCCGTATTGTTACTATATTATGCATCAGCAGCAACAATAAGCGGTAATGCTTTGACTAACAATAATTTAATGTCTTTGTAGGGTCCCCATCAAGAAGACCAAGGAGACACCTGCTGAAAAGCTTGAACGATACAGCCACACTGGCGAATACCTGACCCAAAAGTACTTTGGTGCGCAGCGCAGCCAACAACCCACCACCCTGCAAACTTTCCAAGTCGATTCTGAGGGTCAGGTTGAACATGGTGTCCCCATTTCCAACTACATGAATGCTCAGGTAAATAGTAATATTCTTTATTATTTTCGGTAGTTTTTTTTTGTTGGGGATATGTGGATGCGTGGGTGCAGTGCGGCTAGTGTTGTTATGCTCTGCATATGTATGTTAGGTGTCAGCGCAACAAAGAATTGTGATCCTAATCGAAACTTGTTTGTTGTTTGTTAATACTAGTATTACGGCGAGATTGAGATTGGTACACCACCTCAGCCTTTCACCGTCGTCTTTGACACTGGTTCCTCCAACCTTTGGGTGCCCTCCACCCACTGCAGCTCGATCGCATGCTTCTTGCACCGTCGCTATGATTCGGGTCAGTCAAGCTCCTTCAAGGAGAACGGTACTGATTTTGCTATCCAGTACGGCACCGGCTCTTTGGAAGGCTTCATCAGCGAGGTAACAACAGAACGGAACAAAAAAAAATAGGATGGCCTGTTTGCTGCTATACGCGTTTATATGACAATAATGCATAAATGTTTCCTAACACGACTCTTCGATACTACTGTGTACTAGGATATGCTTTCTGTCGGTGGCATTGACATTAAAGACCAAGGCTTTGCTGAATCCGTCAAGGAACCAGGCTTCACCTTCGCTCTTGCCCGCTTTGACGGCATTTTCGGTCTTGGCTATGACCGCATCTCCGTCAAGGGTGTTGTCCCACCTTTCTACCACATGGTCGAGCGCGACTTGATCGATGAGCCCAAGTTCTCCTTTTGGTTGAATGGCGATCCCGAGGACGAAGACAACGGCGGTGAGCTTGTCTTCGGTGGTGTCAACCCTGACCACTTTGAAGGCGATATCGTGTACTCGCCCGTCCGTCGCAAGGGCTACTGGGAAATCGAGTTGGAGGATATCAAGTTTGGCGGAGAATCCATCGATTTGGAACCTGTTGGTGCTGCCATCGATACTGGCTCATCGCTGCTTGTTGCCCCAACAACTATTGCTGAGCTTATCAACCGTGAATTGGGTGCTGAAAAGAACTGGGCTGGCCAATATGTGCTCGATTGTGCCAACATCAAGGACTTGCCAGAGTTCTGCTTTGTCTTTAGCGGCAAGGACTTCTGCTTGACTGCCGATGACTACGTCTTGAACGTTCAAAACCAATGTATTTCGGGCTTCATGGGAATGGACATCCCCGAACCCGCTGGTCCTCTTTGGATTGGTAAGTCTCTTTGTTTTGCTTGAAAAATACAAGTGCATTGACCGTAGTGTGTTTAACTCACTTTACCGTTATATTATACTTAATTTTAGTTGGCGATGTTTTCCTCCGCAAGTACTACTCAGTGTATGACTTGGAGACTAACAGCGTTGGTCTTGCTCGATCCAAGGCCTAAAACCACATTTGGTCTTTTCTCTTTTCTGCCCTTTTCCATTTTCTGTTGTATTTTCATTTTCTTTTCCTCTCTTAAGCTACCTACAATGGCTTCATTCTATAAACGCGGTCTTGTTCATACGAAAGCATTGTATGCAAACTGAATTGTCTCTATTAAAATAACAAGTTACTCGAAAACTGTCTCACAATCTGGCTATCGTAGTGACGTGCACTAACCGAATAGACTTACCGTTGCTGTTTCACTCTATAAATGGATTGCTTCTCTGCTCGTGCGTAAATGCAATACAGATAATACGCGAGACCATTAGACTTGCTAGTAATGCAATTGGTAAAGGATAGCACGGTTTTTGTAAGTAGCTTATATTGCCTTGACATTTAGTTCCTTTTTAAAAAGACTCGAAGATGAATGTACTATGGCACTTCGAGCATCCAAAAACTTTGATGCCTATCAATGGAGCTGAAAGTTTCTAAAGCATAATAACCTTCAAGACATCTACAACGGGTGGTATGTTTATCTACTGTTGACAACACGCTTTAAAGTTTCCTAGTTGTTCGTATTATCATGTCACGAAAAAACAAACGCTGGATCCACCAGAAAAAGTACTAGATATAAGTGTAGAAGTATTTTTGGTACCATCCTCCATCTTTCAGATATCATGTTGGATTATTGCAACCTCCCACATTGGAAGAAGTGTTACTGCTTTAAGAATGTCTTGGCATCTTTTACTGATCTGCATCCGATGTGGAGGAGTAGACAACTTCTAAATTTCCTATTTAAAACGATTGCACCGTCTGCACTGCGCTTCCGAAATTATACAAAGAGGAGAATACGTCCATCGGTTATGAATATCATTACGATATATATTTTTCCTCTGCGCTATACTGAAAGAAAAAAATTCGACCAACTTTATCGTCATCAGCAAGCACAACGTCCACTAACGTCTTCGTCAAAACAAACAAAGAACCTTACTCCACCCTACCCGATCAACTGTATACATCGGCTTTCACGACGCTAGAAATTTTTTGTGAGACGAGAAACGTGTCGATGACGATGGTAGGCCTAGAGCAGTTGCAAAAACAGACGAAGTGAAGCTTGCAGTAAAACATACAATCAATCATTACTGACAGTGGACGGTGCGCAGCAGCTACACTCGCAACCGGAATAGACGTCGAATATCATGGGGCGAATGAAGACAAAGACATAGAGGACCAGGCAAAAGAATGCGACAAAGTAAATTTCTACAATGATGAGAAATCTATATACTCGTGGAAATGCTTCTACAGGGCTTTTTAGCGCTAAAGTTATTAAAAAATGACGACGACTACCGCATACGCAAAAGTAAGTACGCAAGGTTGGTACGCAAGGTTGGTACGCAAGGCTGGTACGCAAGGCTGGTACGCAAGGCTGGTACGCAAGGCTGGTACGCAAGGCTGGTACGCAAGGTTGGTACGCAAGGTTGGTACGCAAGGCTCGCAAGGCTGTTAAGGCTGGTACGCAAGGCTGGTACGCAAGGCTGGTACGCAAGGTTGGTACGCAAGGTTGGTACGCAAGGCTCGCAAGGCTGTTAAGGCTGGTACGCAAGGCTGGTACGCAAGGCTGGTACGCAAGGTTGGTACGCAAGGTTGGTACGCAAGGTTGGTACCTAAAGCTAGCTTTGTTTCGGATGCAAGAGCATCTTTCATCCTTGGCTGTTCGGTTGGCGGCTCGTTTAAAAGCAATCCAAGATCTGATTTCAGTTTCGGTCTGGAAGCCTCGGCTTGCTTTACACTACACGAGCTATCGAAGCTCATAGGAGCGTGTAAAGCAGCTAGTACTCCGGCATGTTCCTCGTTCAAACTATCGTTTTTTCAGTTTGTATTTCTGTAGTAGTTGTAAAGCTCCACGATCAATATTAACAATATCTTATTTTGGTTTTTTGAGCTTCGACAATATACGAAACGTTCTGTGGCTATGTTGAGAAAAGCTACTCGGTGAATCTACTGGTCGAGCATTCAGCCAAGTTTATAAGAATCGTGACCCCACCTTTATCAACTCGTGTCTCGTAGACGTCGAGATAGTGACCTGGACCTCAGTATATAGTGATATATAAATGAGGCTGTAAAACAGTCAAGTATATCTCTCCTCATTCAATTTTAACGACCACGACTGCTTCCAAATTATGTGTGCCAGTCCAGGGCATTGGCAATTACATATAAAAGCATAATATACTAGATGTGAGAACATTAAGCACTGATTGTGAGGGCAGTAATAGGAACTAGGGGAAGCGCCGTGCTTCATCAAAATCTATAATTACCACGTAGAATAATCGCTGGTGGCTGGACAATGGTTGCTAAAGGAGCATAACCCTAATGACGAGATGGTTGTCTTAATAATCTCTGTGTAGATCCTCTCAGATGCTACGTCGAAAAGTGGTCAGCACGCGACTTATGGCGCATTGGATTTAGGTGCTTAAGAATTCCCCCTAATACATTGCCTTACTTAGCCGTTCCAATTGGATCCGTCTGTTCGAAGCGCTCGGTTTCGAGGACATTGGTAAGCAACTCGTTTATAGACCCGGTTTTGGCTGATTGTATTCTGGAGTTTCAGTAGATATGTAATATGAGCTTGGTAGTATGCTGCATTATGCTGCCTGTTCAAGATGGAAAACTGAGCTTTATATAGTATTGCTAGGTGATAATGACGGCGATCATCTTCTTGTTTTACTCTCTTTCCTCTCGTGTGATACCTAAGTAGCAGATTATGTATCAAGGATGGAATGAGCATTTGTTTCAATACGGAGAATATGGTTTGATAAATCACTGCATGCTTCCACTTGCTTAATGCAAAAGAAAAAATTTGACAGGTTCCCAGTCAAATTTCACTTGATGGCATGAAATTTCCGCCACCACCACGTTCCCGTTGTCTACGTTGAACACCATGAACTCAAATCAGGACAAGCGATCGCGCGATTCGCAACCAGAATCACAAGAAACCATTCTATCAAAACGTAGACGTAACTCACTACGGAACGGGTCAGAAACCGGCGGTGCTGCTGCTTCTGCGAACCAGGAACACGCCCCAATTTCCAACAGTGAACCAGATCAGCTTGCTCAAGACATTTGGGAAAGGTAACTCTTCATAACATAGAATTAACAGTAAATTGACCAAAAACAAAAATGAAAGAAGTGTTATTGTTATCAACTTTGAAGATTCACCAGCAATCGTGATAGTTCTTCTTCGGGCTCAGAGTCAGGTTCAGAATCGAGTTCAGAGTCGGATTCGAGCTCGGGCTCAAGTGACAGCGACAGCGATGATCAATTTGATACAGAAGAAATCCTTGTAGACGCGATTCAAGACGTTTCTGCGGACAATGCTAACGACAACGACAACGATCGAACTGTAAAACAACAGGAACCAGCAACTGTACCTATCACGACATCGGCAGCACCAACATCAGAACATTCTCTCGTGCCTGATGCCACCGATTCGTCCAGTAGTACTGCTGCCACTACAACGATAACTACAGAAGATCCTCGTGAATTTGTCGATCAAAGCATTCGTCGTCTTACCTCAAACAGCTTTTTCTTTACGCGCGACGCTTACGAAGCTTACTCCGTTCATTCGTTTCACAATACGGTCCAAAGACATATTCAGTGGATCAAGGAACATAAAGAAGAAGCGAGTGCTATGTACAGTCAGTATGTACAGCTTCCTCAACAGCAACAACCAGCAACATCGACGCAAGAAAAGAGAGCATCATCATCGTCTCCGCCTGCTACTTTTCCTATTGATACTACCACTGATACGCGTGCTACAACTACTGCTAACCCACCTGATATACAAAGGGTATCTCGAACTCCTTCCTCTTCTGCTGCGGGTACGCCTAGGGCTTCTTCACCTGTATCTCTATCATCAAGAACAACAACACCACCTCCGCCCTCGTCGCCGTCTACAACAGCTGCCCCTCAAGAAAAGCAAAAGGAAATCGGCGTTCTCGACAATTTGCTCAGCTCGATATACAGCGAGACTAAATCAACATCCCCACCCTTGACCTCACCCACAGAACGCCAGCCCATAGCAAAACCGCCGCCGCCGCCTTCGGATATATCTGTAGCAGCGGCAGCAAGTAGTTCTACGGCGCCGCAGTCTATGCCGCGACCGAATGTTTTCCTAGGTGATGCCGTCGCTGATATCTATCAGGTAGTTCTGTTACTGACTTTTAAGTCGAGGAAAGGATGGATGAATATGGAAGCCAACAAGTCGAAAAATTACAATTTATAGTCTTTATGCAAATTGGATCGTGGACGTATTCACCATTATCCGGTAAAGCATATATCATCAACCTGCTTACGACATGCGTTGCAAATTACTAATAGATATAATGCTGACCGCGCTCTGTCTTTAGCAACATTACGCGCATCATAGTAATCCCACTGTTCGAGTGCCAGAAACGCATGGCAAAGTCCCAGTTCTAGAATTCAAGAAAAACATTGCCAAGTTTGTAAGTGGGAAGGAAGTGAAAAATGACCTTCAATTATCTAACCAAATGAGATTTAAAACAGGGTGAAATCGGCACCACTACAGCAACTGGCGATTATCCTCAAAAGATCGACATGAACAAAAACTACATTCAAAGCGATTCCTCTTCCTCCATGGATGACCAAGAATACTATCGTAAAAAGGTATGTCTTTGCATCAATAGGAGTTCTGCGAGCAAAGATGACCGAATGAATGGACCTCTTTAACCTCTCAAATTTGTTTACATGTTCAAAGTTGCCACCGCCTGTCAGCCAAGACCCAATTATACCTCCCATCCTTGCAAACAACAAGATCGATATCACCATAACATTAGACACACTAAGCAAACTTATCGAATTACCAAACAATATGTTTTTGGAGTTTGAGATACCAATCGTTGTACGAGATAACGAAAACGGTAATTGGCTGACGACATTTATCCTAATTCTTTATAGAGAACATTTTGCACGCATCATGTATCGCTTTCTGATCTGACATGTGTACTCGATATTTCATACGCATCAAAAATAGGCAACAAAACCTTATTCATGGATCAGCCATTACTGCATGATAAGCTTGACGCACATGATCAGAATCAGGTCGCTTATGATTTGGCGTTCAAAAGCAACCGTCTGGTCTTGGCGAGACGACAATCGCTTGAAACCCGTGGCGAGCTTGAAACGGAGGGGGATAGTTCAAGGAATCACCTGGAGGATGAAAATATCAGCTACGACTTATACTCGTTTGGAGACCATACCATTCTGTTGCAACGGCAACAAGATGCTTTAATGGAGGTAAAGTAGATTGATTGTTGCTATCCACACACCATTGCGCAATGGTGGATACAGACGATGCTGAATAGATGAACCGTGTAATGTATTTACTAGGGAATACAAAGCTCGAACAAACAAACATACTTGACAGCCGTACTCGATTACAGCAAGGAAATCGGTCAAAACCAGCATTTGGATCTTCTCAAATATCCAAACACACGCACAAAATACTGGCTGCAGTCATACGTCTCTGGTCACGGTAAAATTCTTGAAGGTCAAATCCATGTTGCAACCAACCAGCTCGTGGGCACGCGATGCTTGCACATGCGCAATATTATGGCGAACTGGACACCCTCTCGAGAAAGCGAATTTATACGAACACTGCTTTCAGATTTGTACACGTAAGTACATGTTGCATTAGCTTTTTCTATTCGGTGAAAGGACTCTAGCTCACCCTTTTCTGACTGTATATTCCACAGAAATGTGGAATCGGGGAAGACGTACATATTGCGCAAAAACAAGGACACTGCATTGTCATTATATGAAAGCTCTTCCGCGGAAAATTCAAATTATGATTTATATTATGCATATCCTATACAATAAAGAGAGAGCAAATCAGCAATATTATCCGCCGTTTGCCTCAAACACTGATAACATGAGCGCAAATACTTTCGCATATTGAGGAGAAATAGTGGTTTTCGTCAAGAGATAAACAATACGACTATCGACAACAAAAATATTGCTACCATATTGTATGTCAAGTATTGGTAAAATGACATTGTGTGAGAGGCACTTTAACATTTATCAAAATAACATAAATAGTACCCAGCAGCAAGTCAAGCCACCAAAAATGGCCTTCTCCATCAGAAGGATTGTCGATACCTTTTTCTGCTGTGGAAGAGAATAACTGTTATACATCCTAATTTTGGCTTAACTTGCAACGAATATGAGAGCAGCTTATAGACCACTGCTGATGCGCTTATTATTAAGCAGTGAGTCAGTTGTCTTGCATGGTTTAATAGTAAAAGATTTTAGTAGGCCACTCGGCGCCTAGAGTAAATCTACTATTTGGTTTTATTTTTTTAACGGGTGCCGGCGGTGTAAGCAATATAAAAACGAAGAGGTTTGTGATGTAATACTGTTAGTACTAGTGCCAAGCTACAGTGCAAACGACTGTTATCATTTGTTGATTGTTTGTTGATTGTGTTGTTACAATAGTAATAATGTCATTCACCGTATGTGTCTGTGAGTTGAATCATTTGACCCAAAGCCTAAATTTCAAGCTTCATGACAGCACGCAGCTAGTAGCCGAACTCTTTCTAAAATTGGTACACCTCTGGGCGTGTAAAGAAGAAAAGTGGCCCACAATTAATAAATGGTGATGAGTATAATGCATGCTGCAGGACTAGTTACTGCTAGTTAGTTAGGGTACATGTGTGCCAGTCATATCTACAGGAAAAGATCACCACTTCACAAAGTTTAAAAAATTGCCTCACTAGGGGGCTGTACCTCTTTCGCTCCATCTTTGTTTATCCTTCCTTTCAGGCTTTTGAATATATTAAGTCACTGCTTATATACTTCTGGGGCAGTACTATACACAAAGTGGTAATGAATGACGGCCCGACCTAAATCGATGTCTCGACTATTGGAAGAGGACGACATGGCCACGTTGACGTCTTTTAACCCATACGACGGCCACGTAGATGATAGCGATCAAGAAGGCGTCTTGTCAAAATTCCTTTACAAAGTTCGCAATGCCGTCGTGTCGTATCCTACTGCACCTATCGCTAGTACAAGCAGTGATTCAATCGCATCTATGGATTCACCCAGAGTAAATGACACAATCTCTTTAGTTTTCTTATGCGGGGCACTATCACTAGTTATTTATGGTCTTATGTTTGAATATACGGATAGAACTCGATTGTTGTGGGAGAAAGCAGTAGTTCAACAAGGACGACACAACAGCAACAGCCGTTCCAACGAAACACAGTTAGCTTTGAAGAAACCCGAGAAATCAACAGATATAACTATAATAATAATAACGGATACGACACACCCACAATCGCCATGTCGGCACGCGCTTCGATCGATGAATCGGACCAAGACGGTGGTGTGCTGACAAAAACACCATCCAACGACAGCGATAACCAATCTGTGATTACCAACTTTTCAGTATCCAATTACCACTCGCTGAACCGTGTCATCGCGCAACTGCGAGGCGAAAAGATCAAGTCCGAGAATATGAATACCGAGTATTGGATGCCAGATTCGCAATGCAAAGAGTGTTTTGACTGCAACGCCCGTTTCAAGTTCTATCGAAGGAAGCATCATTGCCGTATATGTGGTAGGTATATGGCTGTTATTTGCACTAGAAGTAACACTTGGGATTAATTATAAGAGTGAACAGGTCAAATCTTTTGTGGCAAATGTGCTTCGGATATCATCCAGGGGGAACGGATCGGACAATCAGGGCAGGTGCGTGTGTGTAAATTTTGTTACTCAAAATTGCAGGCACAGGAACGACAGGAAGAGCACGATGCCAATACCTTGGAGCAAAAAGAATCCAATAACGTGCACCCAAGCATTGACCCTGATTCGATTGTGGGATTGTCACCCGTGCTTCCCGGACAAAAGCCGCCGTCAGCACCGAAAATGCAGATTCCCACGACGACATTAAAAGCGCACCAAGGAGAGTACGGTGGTCAAAATTCGACAACGTTTGCTTTGGAAATCCCGACTGAGGAATTATTGCCATATGCACTTGCCAACAGTACTGCTGCTGCCAATAACATTAATATGAGTCAACCACCACCGACACCAACCATAGCAGCAACAAGTACTGCTGCTCAGCAACAACAACAACAACAACAACAAGACGAGCCAGGGATGAGTCTCAAGGGCATCTTTCTCGCCACTATACGACCCCGGTCTCGGACCAATACAATGAACTCAACCACGGTGGAACCTACGCTTGCCAACATTGATACAGCTAAAGCAGCAAGCATTGGCTCCCCTATACCATTTCGTCGAAATTCTCTCAATGGTCAATTGAATGGGTTCCTGGTAGATGGAGGTGGCGGCACTGTACTTCCATCCAGTGAATACGATAGCGAGGACGAAAGTTCGCGCAAGTGGGACAAGAGTCCGCAAAATTTGCTCAATTTCCTTGGTGGTGGCAGCAGCTCGGATCGGATAGATGACAACAATGGTGCTTTGATGTCGCCTACTGTACCTGACGATGATATTGTGGTCAGTCAAGAATCATCTACGAAACTGAGAAGACGACGTGCAGAAGATCGATTGACACGGGAACGATCTAATAGCATGCGTCGACGTCGTAGCCTTACGACCACTCCTTCACGATCCTTTCGACAACGTACACATAGCCTTATGCGCAACACACCTATTACGACAATGACACCATTATCGGACACGGCAGACGACTCACAGAATCTAGCGACGCCAATTGTAGAAGACAGCAACGCAGGAGCAAGTGGTGGCTGCAGTGGGCTCAACGAGGCATTACTATTATGCTCGGATGACTCTGGAGCTGCCGAAAATCAAAATAGCGGCAGTCTTGCGGCAATGACAAACAACAACAATGAGCTCAGCATGGCATCCATGGAGCACATGAGGAAGATGCTGCGGCATTTGCTGCATGAAAACGAGTCAATCATTGGCCCAACTCATTGCGAGGCATGGGAAGATGTTTTGATGAAGCTGTTGCTGCAAGTATCAGAAAACGTACATCCCGATATTCGTGGCGGCGACGACATGGACTTGCGACACTATATCAAGATCAAAAAGATAGCCGGTGGTGCTCCCGAGGACAGCTACTATGTGAATGGCGTCGTATGCTCCAAGAATGTGGCACACAAACGCATGATACGGTCCATCAAGAACCCACAAATTCTCATCCTCCTGTTCCCGCTGGAGTGGTCCCGCGATTTTTGGGGTGACTGTCAGCTGCAATCGATCGACCGGGTACTTGCGCAAGAAAGGGATTTCTTGGAGAAGCTTGTGAATCGTATCGTGGCACTTAAGCCATCGGTGGTCCTCGTCAGCTCAAACGTATCTCGAATTGCGCTTGAACATTTGGTCAAGACCGATATCGTCGTCGCGTACAATGTTAAACTCAGCATTCTCGATGCTGTTGCGCGGTGCACGGGTGCAAGCATTATCAACTCTTTCCTGCAGCTCATGACGGATGGATTGACGTTGGGACACTGCGGCGTATTCGAAACCAAGACGCTCGTTCATGACTTGATACCGCATAGACGCAAGACTTTTCTAATTTTTGACAAGTGTCCACCTGAGCTTGGGGCTACAATTATTATGCGAGGCGGAAATGTTGAAACCTTGCGCGTACTCAAGCGTATCATGGACTTCATGGTCTTTGTCGTACACAATCTCCGGCTCGAGTCATTTCTACTCATGGATTTGGCCAAGGCAAGGATCACTCTTCACGGACCGCAAACAAAAGAACAACAGATTGCTGCTGCTGCTGCTGCTGTTGCTATTACCACTGAGGAAACGCCTGCATCTTCAGCACAGTCCGTAACTTCCACCGACAAAAGTAGCGAAACAACGATCATTGCTGATGATAATAACGACAAAGTGGCGGCGACGACAAGCAGCACCACCACCAATACAGCTACTGGTGATGACGCTGAATTCCTACAAGCCGTCCAGGATGCTATTCACCGCTACCAGAACGTAACTCTGTCAGCTTCATCCATGGTTGGATTACCAGCACCCCACTTACTTCTGCGGCTCAGCGAAACACAGAGAAAAATGATTGCATTGATCGCAGCACGGGCACCTGAAGCACTCAAGAACGCCAACCACGCGCCACCCAATCGGCTTGCCAACATGCTTGCTTTTTTTAGAAGCTTTGATCAGATCATGATGGGCGATGCAGAGTTCGAGCGTTTGTTGGAGGAACATCATCATCGCTGGCGCGCACTCGAAGCCTATATTGGCGACAATGCAGATACGCTGTCGCCATCGTACCATCAGCAGCTCGTGGTGCTCTACATGTCCGTTTGCTCGATCACTGCTGTGCCCTGTCAGGGACCAGAGATGCGCATGTTTGAGTATTATCGACCCGAGTCGGACCTGACACTGGGGCAATACATTGAAGACATTTCTGCCGATGCTAACACGCCATGTCCGTCAAATATGTGTGAATCCACAATGCTCGAACATTATCGGTCGTACGCACATGGGAACGCCAAAGTCAATGTTGATATAGAGCGTATTCAAGGCCCAGCACCAATCATGACTACGAGCAACATTTTAATGTGGAGCTACTGCAAGCATTGCGATGCCAACAGCCTGCTAGTGCCCATGTCCGAAAGCAGTTGGAAATACTCCTTGGGCAAGTTCCTCGAGCTATTGTTCCACCAAACAGCCGAGGCAGTCTGTGGTCAAGAAGAAACCTGGTGTCCACACAACCTGTTTCGGGACCACGTCCACTATTTCTGTATCAAAGGCATTGCCGTACGGTTCCAGCATGAAGCCATTGAACCGCTCGAAGTGCATGTGCCACCAATGCATCTGTACATCAACCCAAAGACGCAGATCGCGCTCAAGGATTCAGCGCTCGAATCGACACGATCAAAAATTACCCGATTTTACGAATCTGTCATTGAGCGAGACAAAAACTTCTTGCTGGATATGGTCCAGCCGGAAGAAGTGGATGGGTGCAAAGAGCATTTGCAAGAAATGTCACGACGAGCCACAGGTGAAAAGAAACAGATGCTGCAAGCCTTGCAGTCTGTTTATGCAACCACGGCCCCCACGGATGCACTCAGCCTCAACATTGTACGCATCAAGCTGCAGATGAAGGTTATGCAATGGGATCTGGAGTATGCAGAGTTTGTGCGACACTATGTACGGCCCGAGCGCGAGTTGCGACGCCATTTCAAGAAAATGTTCCCTGTCGAAAGTGGTATTACGAGTGGCGCGGTGGCTAATTTGGACGTGCGCACCAAACGGACAGCCGAAGCACCCGATTTGCCTATTCTCGATGTTGGATTGGACGGTCCTAGTGACTGCACTGCAACGACCACGGCTGTCAACGATATTGATATTTTGCTCAAGTCCCAGCCTAACCTGGGTGAATCGCCTACGTCAGCATCGCCATGGCTAGAAGAAGAAGCTCGACTGGATCATATTTTGGAAGAGATGATAAAGGAGAAATTGTCAAGAAAACAATCAGGCGACACGGCCAACTCGTTAACAGCACCGTCACAGCAAAGTGGCAATTCAACTGCGCAAGATAGCGCTGTGGATGCAGCGATAGCGGATGGCCTGGATCCGAGTGTGGCACGACGACTCTCGCTCGAATTGATGAAAGATACACCCAAACCATTGACTAGCTGGACTGATGAAAAAGAAGAACAGCAACAACAGCAGCAGCAGCATAAACAGCAATCCAAAAACGAGCACCAATCCCATCAACGCAAACGTGGTAGTAACAACCATGGACATAATCATACTACTACTAATACTACTACTGCTGCTAAGCAGCAAGTGCAGCAGAGCCACAATGTTCATACTACACAGCAACGCAAATACTTGGATGATTACGATATACGGGCACAAAAGCGTCGAGCCAACAACGAGCAAAACAGAACATCGTTCCCGTCAGGATTAACGAACCATGCCGCAATGCTGCCGTTGCTATCCACTGCTGCCTATAAACGATTCACTGATATACTTCCTTACGATTCAGAGATTGCAAAGTCACAAAGCTCTCCACCGCTCATGTCGAAAATTAAGCGCAAAAACTATCCAAAGGTGGATACTACTCGTACTAGGGCGACACCAGCAACACAGCAACATTCAGGTAGTAATGGCAAGGAGAGAGATCGGCAGGATAATAATTGTAGTGACATATCTACCGAGAAACGGGAGCTTGCACTCAGTGGGTATCGTTACGGCTACAAGGGATCGGCTGAACGAGGAAGTTCAGCTTCAACACATCGTCTACATCCTTTACGATATTATCCACGCAACCACAACAACAGCAGCAGTAACAACAATCGTGGTGCAACAGATAGCTCAGGATCATCCTCAGCCACCTCGCTTCATCTACAAGACAGCAGTAGCAGCAGCAGTGTCAATAGGCATCAACAACAACAACAGCAGAGCAGTAGTAATTCTACAAGTCGACTTATACATCCATCAACACGCGTGGATCATCTTGAACGCAACGTCAAATTTGCCACTGGTCGTCACCGTCATCATCACTTGACACCGTCCGGCAACCGACCACCTTCTTCAGCAGCAGCCCGCGGTGTTCGACAACGCTTACCAAGCAAATCTTCCATGGAGGTTTACACAACGATCCGAGAACTCGTACGCGAAGAATCAGACGACGAGTTCCAGGCGAGTGACAGTGATACTACTGATTGTGAAGACGAAGACGACGACGACGACGACGATAATCGCGATGTTGATGGTGCTGATACCACCACCAGCAGCAGCAGCAACAACAACAACAACAGAAAACGCCAAGATGACGACGATCGCTATACTAGCAAGTTGACGTTCTCTTTGACACATACGGATGAATACGATGAGTCTTGGGGTCGTGAAATGGTCCCACATCAGCAACTTGGGCAAAGTGCTATATTACATGATTCGCCGGTGGATACCACGGTTCCACACTTGACCTTTGATGAATATGACAATGCTACTGCTGCTGATGGTTCTGCTTCCGGTGCTGCTGCCACTAATGATAGACCAGCGCTGCATCATCATACGATATCCGACTTTAGAGCAATGAATCCAGCTCATGGTCAGCCTATACCCACCAAACCCAATGCTAGTATGAGTAATCTCGGTATGAAACATCCCTGGACAAAAGTGCGTATGTATGCAGCACAGCTTATTGATTGTATTTTTGATATATGATTGCAGAACCATCAACGTTGGAACTCTCTACGAGCGGTTCTGAGAGAAACTCTTTTTTGAAAACGATTACGAACATGCTTGCCGAAAAGGGTCTTGGTAACCTGTTACCATTGGAATATCCTCTGTAAGTATTCATTTTCCTAGCAAATACCAGTATTTCTTAATTGTGAATAATTTGTGTATATCACCAAAAAAAAAATAGCTCTCCATTAGAACATGTGTTCCCAGGCTCCTTGATCGTGGTTGGCGAAGACGAACCAAGCACGATTGTAGCATATACCCTCAGCTGTGATGATTATACCAACATGTTGAAAGAAATCCGGAAAGGAACCCATACTGACATTCCAGTTGTGACCGACGAGCAAAGCATGCAAAATGAGCATCAACAGTATAACGAAAAGGAACCATCTGCTGCTGGCGCTTCTGCAGAACCAGTTACTGGCATGTTTATCGAGCGTACATTACGTAGCAAGTCGGGTATACACATGAAATATTGTGAGTATCTCTTGTTCGAAAGTACAAGAGCATGTTTTATATAAAGAAACTGCGGGAAAAACTCATCATGTTTTTATAATTGCAGATTTCACTGATGGAACGACAAAGTTCTTTTGCAAGATATTCTTTGTTGAACAATTCGATGCACTGAGACGCAACTGCGGATGTGAGGAGAGTTATATTGCATCCTTGGCAAGCTGTTGTAAATGGGACTCGTCTGGAGGAAAATCAGGATCTGTTTTTCTCAAAACCAAAGGTGAATCAGCACATTCAATGACGGTCATGACAGGAATTTCACATTTGGAATGGCTAAAATGATCCTCTTAAACTAGACGATCGATTGTTGATAAAGCAGATATCCAGATATGAGATGGATGCCTTTTTACGTTTCGCACCATCGTATTTCCAGTACATGTCTGAAGCTTTCTTCCATGAGGTAAAGATACATGATAAATTCTCCTTTGGTTTTGGTACAGAACCTAATAGCATTATCGGTACTTTCTCTCCCTCTTTTGGCGCCTCTCCCGCTCATAGTTACCGACCGTTCTCAGCAAGATTTTTGGTCTGTATCGGATCGGTTTTAAAAACTCGACTACCGGAAAATCGATGCGCATGGATATTCTTGTAATGGAGAACCTGTTTTACGAACGTGCGGTCAAAAAGGTACCACCTTTACCTCCCTCAGATAACTTCATAGCTGCTAATGCTGACGGACTTTTTGGTTCCCTATCAGATATTCGACTTGAAGGGATCCATGCGCAACCGGCATGTACAAGCAACCGGTCGTGAAAACGAAGTGCTTCTGGATGAAAACATGGTTGAACGTGAGTATATTTTAGCATTTGGCGTTTTGTATATTAGAGAGCGGGAGAGAGCCCTTCAGACTAGGTTAAGGATTGTCTCTTCTTATTTGAACTTAAATGATGTTAGTCATGTTTCAAGCACCCTTGTTTCTGCGCTCTCATTCGAAGGAGATGCTTCGCGGCTCTCTCCACAACGACACATTATTCTTATCTCGACTTGACGTCATGGACTATTCGCTGCTGGTCGGCGTGGATGAAGATAACCGTGAACTTATCGTAGGCATTGTTGGTAAGCTTGAATATACTTTTCTTGCAAGGAAGTTTATGAGTACAAATAATGGAAGACGAAAACTATTGTGGTTAATAACACGTTGTTTGTTAGATTTCATTCGTACATTTACCTGGGACAAAAAATTAGAAAGCTGGGTCAAGGAATCAGGGATTCTGGGTGGCGGCGGAAAAGAGCCGACTATTATTTCGCCCAAGCAATATCGCATTCGTTTCCGTGAAGCGATGGATCGTTATTTCTTGATGGTACCTGATTTCTGGACTGCCAAGCTGGTCCGTCGACAATATCATCATGAGGACCATCACACCACAAATATGACCTCGATCACAGAAACCAACAAGCTAAAATAACGCGATATTAAAATATCATATACCCTTCCCTACCTTGAAACATATTTTCTTTTCTATCATCGCTATCCTAAAGTTCGGCAAAGACACATTTATATAGCAACATGACTTCATGTATTGTGTGGCGTTTGCGTTTGATAAGGGATTTAAGTAAGCACATTGTTTGATGCTCCTTCAATGTCAATGCTGCGACGAATGAGATAATTTATCGCTTCTGGTTTCTGGAATGACTAATACCAGGTCCATACACGTGCGCAAATTACATTGTTTTTCAGTACAAGGCTGGTTGCTTTCTTTAAAGGATTGTATTCATTATTAAACAGACTACTCTTGGGGTTGGAGGGAGATAAAAAAAGTATCTAAAGAGAAGAAAAGAAGAGAATGGCACAAATTCACATCGAAACCATGCCTAATAGCCAGGACTGGCTCAATGTGGTCCATCTTATCCTCGGGGGACGACATGTCTGCCAGAAATTCTTCTTAATGGAGCCTGCTGTTTCTTTCTATAATATATGATAATATAGTAAACACTTCTTAATAATAAGATTGACTACTTAAGTACCAGTACCTCATACATATTATTATATGTACATACAGGTCACAACAGGTTAAGGGTTAGATGGGTTGACCTATATGTCAGAAAAGCATCATCAAACCGACCCCTTGACCCATCCTTAACCCAGAGGTCGACTTAAAACCATAGGTCAGATTGCAACCCCTAGTACTGGGGTGATAGTGAACAGCTTATATAAAAATAAAAAGATAAAAAAACCTATATAGTTGTGTCTCTGCTACCAATAAGAGAAAAAAACTAAACAAAGTATAAAGAGAGCGGTGAGGGAGATAGGAAATAATATCAAGGCGGATATAAGAGCGAAGTTAAAGAAGTAGGGTGGTGATAAGAAGAAAAGTTGGAGACTATGAAAATGTGGGGTAAAAACTCTAAGTTTAGGTAAGAGAGAAAAAAAATAAAAAGAAGATAGAAAAAAGAGAGAGAGTAGAGAGTTAATACGAAACCAATTGGCAAGGGCCGGATGCAAATATTGATATGTGGATACAAAGAGCGAGATACATCAAGTAGGGGAGGAGGAGGAGGAAGAAGGAGGGGAATCGAGACTCTGCGAAGCCTCAAGAAGAAGTGAGCCTGCAAGAGGTTCATCGTCAAAAGGTGTGTCGGATGTTATTTCATCAAAGCGGCGGAGGAGAGAGAGAAGTGCCGGCCATAGTCGGTGCCATTTACCGAGCTTGGCGGTGACTTTGCGCGGCAATAAGTTTAATGCGACATCAATGGCATCAGCATTAGTAGGGGGGTCGGGTGTGAGAGAGGAGAGAGACCAGCGGAAGGAGCGGAATTCAGAAGAGAGAAGAGGACAAGAAGTAAGGTGATCACGATTTGCTTTAGGAGAGCGACATTGGCAAGGTACTGACGGTGTTGGAGGCAGCCAAGCAAGACGCCACTTGACCAGCCGGTGTCGTTCTTTTTTGGTGCACGGCAACAAGAGAGTTGGATCCTATACAGGTTGGCGCAAGCCTCGTTTGATGGTTATGTATTTGGCAGGATGCCTTACAAGTTTATCAATTTCAGCTTGCATATGAGCGCGGATAGCTTCTTTGAGAGGCTTCCGTGGCGAGTTAGGCCGGCTCATGAGTTGCTGGACAGATTTCCAGATTACATTGCGCCTAAGGGCTGGCCAATGGGCTTCATTCTGCGAAATCAAAATGTGCGGGACAACACAGACTACGAGGGTGCTTCGAGGAAGTGTTTGTGCGCGTAAAAAAAATTTAGTTTGTAAAATACGATAGCGAGTACGCATGTCGGGCAGGGCAGAAAGGTAAGAAAGGGTGACAATGCCGATAGCTTTTTCAACTGGGTTGCGACAAATACACATTCGCAAGCATTGCTTTTGAATTTGTTCTATCACATCAGTTCGTTGAGCCGAAAGAAAAGTAATAGCAAGGCCGTACTCGATAATTGAACGAACAAAGATCTTATAGGCACGGAGGGAAGAGGTAAGCCCAAAACCATACATGTGGACGCCACTATCCCGAAGCAATCTCATGACTGAGAGAGCTTTGGTCTTCGACTGTGCCACGAGCATATCGCGATCCAACCCGAGAGAAGAGAAGGGTATGCCAAGGTATCTGAATGACGAGCAACGAGGAATTTCTGTACCATATAAAGTGAACGGTTCCCCTTGAGGGTTGGCATTGAGAATTTCACACTTTGTAGGGCTCACTGATAACTAAGGAGGTTGGAGTGTTGTTCCACTGCCAAAAGCATCATATGTACGTCACGAGCATCACCGATAATGGCAACATCATCAGCATACATTAGACAATTGATAGGGATGAAGGAGTGGGGGTAGCGGTTCTCAGTAGCAGGATTGTCTGGGATAAGGTAAGGGTTATAAGAAGGTGCCTGCAAGTCCTCAAGCAGAGATCGCAGAGCAGCATTGGGGGTGGCAAAAGAAAAAGGACGACTCGAGCAAAAATTGAGAGACCGATAAGAGGGAGGGGGGTAGGTACACGCACAAGGTAGGGATGAGAGGACACAGACTATAGTAAACGGGGAAGAGTGTCGATAAAAATAGAGTAAAGGATGGGAGATAAATTACTTTCTTGAAGCACACCATGCCGTGGATATATGTCCCGGGATGCCATGTTGGAGAGGATTACTCGAACAACAACGACGTCGAATAAGCTTCGCAGTAGCTTGAGCAGCGGTTCAGACACATAAGGCTGAAACATATCCCAAATGACGCACCTGTTACAGCTGTCAAATGCACTTGCTATGTCCAGGAAAGCGACGATTGGAGGGTGCTGCATACTACCCTCATTAAAGCTATATGCTTGCATCAGTTCTTGGAGACAAAGGGCCTGATCCAGGGTACCACGGAGAGCACGGAAACCACCTTGTGCGATGTCGAGGGTTGGCATAGTCTGGAGAAGGGTGGACATGACACATCGTTCAAGGAGCTTGCAGTAGACCGAGGTTAAGCTGATGGGTCGATACTTGGAAGGATCGTCAGCAGAACCTTTGTTCTTATAGATGGGGACAACTTGTGCGGTACGCCATGAGATAGGAGTCTATGACCAGCGCCAGCAGAGGGTAAAGAGTCCATCCAAGAGTGGGGTGATGTTTGATGCAATGGGCTTGAGCATTTCAGCTTTAATATGATCACAACCTGGTGCTTTACGGTTTGGCAAGGCCGCAATAGCAAGCTCAATGTCTGCCCGGTGCCAGCAGGTCCTCTGCTCTCGGTCGAAATTGCTTCGGGTGAAAGCCGAGGTGACACAGAGCCACCAAACACACGCTCGAGGTGAGCAGCCATGTTATCAGCAGCAGCTTGTGGTCCCTGAGGCGATGAAAGTGTGACGTTGCTTCGATTACGCAGGCGCATTCGTTTAACAACAGCAGTCATTTCGGTTGGGTCAGCTTGTAGCTTTTGACAAAAGTCATTCCAGTTCTGCTTCCGAGCAGCCCTTACCGCTTTGCGAAAAGCAGTACACGCAGCAATATATTCACTGTGGGCTGTAATGCGTTCAATGTCATTGCGCAATCGAAGCCAGCGTTTATGCAACGTTTGACGACGGTCGGCTAGTTGCTGGAGTGTGTCGTTCCAAAACCACTTGTGGGAGTCAGTACGAGGACAACTGCGCCCGACAGTATTATCCAAAGCATCGTATACAGCTGTGTTCAACCGATCGACAAATGCCTCCAACACTTCAGCGCTCGGATGCAAATCGTCGGTTTCCAGTGTAGAACGGATATCTCCCAAAAGAGCACCTGTAGACTCTGTAAACCTGTCAGCATAGCGTTCGAGTACTTCAGGTTTTTTTAACCTTTGAAGTCGCCAAGTGCGTCGAGGGGCCGTGGCGGCTGGGAGCCGTGACATATTCACGGGCACAAATGACAGCTCACACAAGTGGTGATCCGACAAGCCTAGGCCTGTATGAATGCGCATAGCTGGATCATGGATGTTGTCTCTCATCGATATGAAATAATCAATGATGCTTTCGCATAGACGATTGCCGCGTAGCACAGAAAAAGTAGCTTCTCTGTTGGCTAACTCAGCATTCCACAAGGTTAAGTCTTTTGTGCTTATCCAGGTAGACAGTGCATGGTGACGATCGGGAGTGACTCTGGCATCACCCGTGGTACTCCCTAACTGCGTATTCAAGTCTCCAAGAATGATTGTGTATGGATCCACTGACAAGGAAGTATACCTCTCAGCAGCCACTGCAGCATCAAGCTTTGGTGGTAGGTATACACCATGCAAAGTATAAGGGCCAACTTTCAGTAACAGTACCTCACTGTTGCGGATGGAAAGGGGATGAACCTCGTAGGGGAAATCGGGTCGGATGAGAAAGGAGAGGCCAAAGCGGTTGAAGGTGTTGGTGCCCTCCGTGAGTTGTGCATAGTTATGAAATTGTTGCCATTGACAGCGTAAACGGCCATGGCGTAAGTAAGTTTCGCAGAGAAAAATAATATCAATATTTGCATCCAAACAAGCGTCTATAACCCCTACCAAATTAGTTCGTATGTTTCGGACGTTGAGAGTAGCAATCGTTAAACGATCACTACTCATTGATGTTGCTGTTCGCTGCTGTTGGGGGAGTCGTCGTTGTCGTTGGGCGTATCTTCACCCATTTCGACGTCGTCGGTTGTTGTGGCGGTGGCGTTGTTAGTGGTGGTTGGTGTTGGTGCAGGTGGTGTGCTTGGTTGTTGTGTTGGTGGGTTGTACTCGGCAAGAAATGCTGACCACCAGGTACTATCGAGTTGCAAGGCACCAGCGGCAGGAGAAGCGAAGAAACGAGCGATGCTGATGCCTATTTTTCGTGGAAGGCGAAGGCAAGTGCGTTTGATCCTCTCAGCAAATAGTTGCTGAGCGAGGGCAAGGCGGGCTTCTTGACTGTCGTTGGCGTACTTAGCATCGCCAATGACGGATGCGTCGAGTTGGTTGAAAGTGGTGCGGGGGGCAACTTTTTCGGCGTTGAGGCAACGAATTAACTCGTCCTTAAAGTCGTGGTGGACAAGGAGAGCAACTGTGCCTCTTGCTGGGAAGTAAATGTCCAGCACACAAGATTGCTGGATCTTCAGGCTGCTGATAAACTTGCGGATATCATGGTAGCGAAGGTGGTGGCGGCAAGGAACGTACACAAAGTCGAACTGCGATGGGCCTGTGCTTTCTTGGAGGGCACGGACAGCGAGGGACTTGGTGGTGGCGGTGTTGGTGGGACGCTTCTTCCCTTTTGGTGGGGTGTTTTTAGCAGCTACAGCTGCCCAGGAAGAAGGTTTTTTGTTGTTGTTGTTGTTGTTGTTGTTGCTGTTGTTATTGGGGTGGTGGGTGGTCTTGGCTGCCGTGGACGTTTTGCCTTTGGCAGCGTGCGACTTGGTGAGCTTGGTGGTGGCGGCAGATGCAGGCGATTTCACCGATTTCGGTGCATGGCGCGATGCCATGAGCGAATCGGCGG